TGAGGTCTGGGACTGCCTCATTTTTTTTTTGTCCTGATTTCCCTAGCAACTAGGAAAGTACCTGGAATATAACAGGTGTTTAGTAAAATGCTTGCGCTGTATATTCATTTCCTCACACCTTTAGTGACCAGTTTCTTTCTCCTTCTTGAACGCACTTCCTGTGTATGTAAAATGCAAATAGCAGCAGCCCTGACCTTTTCTGTTGCTGTTTAGTCTTTATCAGTCATGTCCAACTCTTCATGACCCCATTTGGGGTTTTCTTGGCAAAGATACTGGACTGGTTTGCTATTTCCTTCTCCAGCCCATTTTACGAATGAGGAAACTGAGGCAAATGAGTGACTTGTCCAGGGCCACACAGCTAGTAAGTGCCTGAGGCCAGATTTGAACTCAGGAAGATGAGTTTTCCTGAATGCAGGTTCAGTGCCACCTAGCTGCCACCAGCCCTGTTACCAAAGCCTAGCACACAAAAGGTATCCAATATTTGCATGCTGATTGATTAAATCAGGAAACCTGAATTTTACTAGGGCCTCTGCCAATACTCTCCATGCACTTGGTGGCTACATCACTTAGTGTCTCTAAGGCCCATTTCCCCATCTATAAAATGAAGGGTTGGATGAAATGATTTCTAAGTTCTTTCCCATGATAACATTCCACACTTTTTACATCAGGAGACAGGAAAGAAAGAGAACATATTCTAGGGGCAGAGGACATTCCCTAGAACAAAAACAATGGGGGCTATGAGTTGAAGTACAAAAGACATCAATTGAGACTTACTTTAAGGGAAAACTTCTCAAGCATCTGCTATCCCAAAGCGTACTGAGATGCCTTCCGGCAAAGGCTAGCTAACCACATGTCAGCCATGTTCTAGAGCAGTCTCAGATGTGGGCTGGACAGTAATCACTGATATCCTTTATAAGCACGAAATTCTGCGCTTCTGTACTAGAAGGGAAATAAGCATTCATGAAGGGCCCATTCTGGGCCAGGCTCTGCGCCACACACTCATTTGATGCTCACAAAAACGCGTGGAGGTAAATGTTATCATTATCCCCATTTTAATTGAAGCCACCAAGGCAGAGAGAAGTTAAGTGATTTCCACAGCTAATAAGTGTCTGAGGGTGGATTTGAACTCAAGTCTTCCTGACTCCAGACCCAAGGCTTTATCCACTGGGTCACCTCGTTGACTAACTACATGTCAGACAGACACTGTCTTAAGAGCTTGGGATTCAAATAACTGTGAGATGATTCTTGAACTTAATGAGTAGAGATTTACAGTTCAGTAAATGCAGGAAACACAGAAAATAAATAGACCCTGATTTGAAGGCAGAAACTAGCAAGGAGGGGAATCAAGAATGGAACCTGCCAGAGAGTAGCAGGAGAGCTAAGGCAGGGGTTCTAGAAGTGGAGGCAAGGAGGGAGAATGCTCCCAGGCCTGAAAGGATGCCCATGCCAAGGCCCTGGAACGCTGTGTATGAGACAGTGGGGAGGCCCATGTGGCTGAGTCTGAAGAGCATGATGTGATCTGAGAAAAGACACGGAGAAGTCAGGAAATCTCACAAGACTGAAGAAGAGTAGAAGTCTCAAATGTTTAAAAGAATGGAGTCCACAAATTATAGATTAGTGATCTTGACTGGAATTCCATTTCATAGGACTGTGGATTTAGAACTGGAAAAGACCTTAACAATAATTTTAATGCAAACTTCTCATTACAGATGGGAAAATAGAGGCACCAAGGTTAAGTGACTTGCCCAAAGTCTCACAGGTGAGACGCAGAGCCAGAATTCAAATTCAGATCCTGTAACTCCAAGGTGAGCACCCTTTCTGCTGCAACAAAATGCCTACTTAGCAAAATTCTGAAAAGTGTTGTTAAAAGGCTGGTTAGTAAACATCTAGAAAAGGAAGCAGTGACAACACAGAATCAACATCGCTTCATCAAGAAGAGGTCACACCAACCTCATGTTCTTTTCGGACAGGGTGACTGGCCTGGTAGAGACATAGACCAAGTGATAGTACAGTTAAGGGGATTTGGAATTTGCGTGATGGCCAGGCCAAAAAGGGTATCATTAATGGTTAAATGGCAGCTTAGGAGGTAGCCAGTGGAGAGTATATGATGTCACATTGTTATCAGTGATACAGATAAAAGAATGGCTAACGAGCTGATCAAGCGCACACAAGCCGACAGAGTGAACATATTGAGTAACTGAGTCCTTATTCCAAAACAATTTAACAAGCCAAGGGTTCATGCCAAGTCTACTCAGAAGAAATGTAACAGGGATAAATGTCAGTTCTCACACTTGTACAAGACTTGTACAAGGGAGGCACAGCTAAACAGTCATTCCTCTGAAAAGGATGAGACTTTTACAGTGTGTGAGTCACAGTCCAATGTGGCAGCCAAAATAGCTAGAGTGAACTGGTGCTGCATTAAGAAGAGGCTAGCTCCTATGGAGAAGGAAGTGATGGTACTAGTGTATTCTGTCTCAGACAGTGCTCAGCTCTGGGTGCCATATTTTATAAAGGACAGTAATAAGCTGAAGGGCATGCAGAGGAGTGTGGCCAGGAAGGTGTTGGGTTTCAAATGCATACCATTTAATGACTCGGAGGAATTGTACATTTAGCCAAGAGAAAAGAAGACATAGGGATACAACAGCTATCTTCAAGCATTTGATAGGGAAGAGAAAACAGGCTTCTTCTGCTTGGTTCCAGAAAAGCAGATCTGGAAGGAAGCTTCACAGAGGCAAATTTATATTTGATGCTAAAAAGAACATCCTAATAATTAAGTTTCCTGAAAAGTGAAATGAGGTGTGAATGAAAGGGTTATTTACAACCAGGAAAACTGAGTTAATATCTGTAGGTTGGTACCTTTACCTTAGAGATGGATGAATCCACAGACATGGCTGGATTTGCTATTTTGCTTCTATTTATATCAGTATCAATTAATTATGGAAGATCTGTGAATGCTTGGCAACAAATGAAGGTGGTGCAGAAATATTCAAAGTGCTAATTTATTTGAATTTCATGGTTTATCCTACAACAGCTGTGTTGATATTTGTATACCGATGCTACAAAAACATCGATGGTACAATTAACATCTACAAAAATGGAAAATGCCACTTTTCTTGCTAATTTCTTTAGAAAACAGTTTACATAAAAAAAATGTTAACATGTAATGGGTTTATTATTAAATGTAAGTGAATTACTTTTAAATGAATAATTTTAAAATGAATTAATTAAAATTTCATGTTTTAATTTCTAACACAGTAAGTTGGTTGGCTGGTTGTTGTCCTTTGTCCTCAAAGAGGACCAAAATGCTATCACTAATCTAGAGTCAATTACAGTGGGTCTGACTGGGGCCAATCACACCCATACAAGCTCAGAATGTTCTACCACAGGTCAGGGACAAATAGTAAGTATCAATAGATGTAGCACACATAAATAAAAGCTCTTTTAGGTCCTTAATAACTTTTAAGAGTACAAAGAGCTACTAACAACAAAAAATTGGAGGACCATTCAATTAAGACTAGAAAAGAATGTGGAGTGAGCTATGTCAGAATGTGCCGGTGATATAAAAAGTATAAGGCATCAATAAAAATTGGAAAAATGAAAACTAATCAATCAAAATGTGATACAAATTTATTGTGGGATATAATCAATAAGCTAGATAATACTAGAAGCAATTCATTTGGGGAAAAAAGAGTCCATTAATTTTATATAACTATGTGATTGTCCAGGGTATTCAAGAAAGATTTAAGAAGACATGACATTTAAGTTTGGCCTTACATTTATTATTGATTCCATTTGGTAATAAATTATACACATGTGTATGTGTACGTACACACACACACACACACACACACACACACAGAGTTTAGCCATTTTAATATGTATTTAAATATAGAATGAGTAATAACAATTAGGAAAAGAGGGTAATGCTAATTACTGGAATGGAATGTGGATTGGAGCCTATTAATAAATGGGACTGCAAATTTTTTAATGAGGAATAAATTATTCAACATACTTCCTAGACTGGTATAGTGCCCAGAAGAATAAAAATCAAATATAAACAATGAGTGAAGTGATACACTGAGGTTGACTGAACTACTCTATAAGTGTAGTCAGAACCCATAATGCCTTGCTACATATGGGAGATCAGGTTTCTTCCTTTCCAAGGAGTTGCAGAGATAAAGAACAGTGGGATAAAAGGGGAGTGGGGGAGGAGGAGTTGTCCAACAGGAAATGACTGGTAATTTCTAAGAGAATAAGATCAGTCAGGTGCTTAGCAGAGACACTGTAAAGCATTCAAATAATGGGTGGAAGGAGCCAGAGATCCTGCCTGAGGACAGACAACTTTTTCAAGAAACCTGGCAGAAAAAGAGAGAAAAGGGTTTCAGATGGTACCTGGAAAGAGCAAATAACAGGTGAAAAGTAGTATGACGACTATGGTTGTTTGGGGGAAAGCCATGTTTATGAGCAGCTGCAAACGGTCTACTAGAGAGGAAAAAAACATAATCCTAACAGCTGATGTTTATACAGCATTTTAAAATTTGGAAAATGCTTTAATATGTCTTGTGATTTATTTGATAAGCACAACTACAATATGAAATTAGTATTACAGGCATTTTTATCTGAGATGAGGAAAGTGAAATTGACAGCTTAAGAAAATGGCTCCCACTAAATAAACTGACAGATGTTATGGAGAGAATTTGAATTAAAATCTCCCAGATGTCAGGTTGACATAACAGCAGGAAAAAGGGGGGAATAGTGGGAATAAGAGAACAAGAAGATGAATTAGTGAGATCATCACTGAAAAAATGGAGCAAAGTTATCTGCTGTAATTCTGCACACTGTACAAGGGGAGGCTGGCAACATGAGAACAGTTTGGAAGAGCTGCTCTAGGAAATAAAATAATTACATGATTTATCTGGTTTCCTTTAAGTCTGTAGTCTAACATTTTCAGAAAAGTGTATGACTGAAATCTTTCTTTTTTTCATTATATTCACAAAGACTGTCTCCAGTATGAATTCTCTGATGGTAAGTAAGATGTGACCTTTGGCGGAAGGACTTCCCACATTCATGACATTCATATGGCTTCTCTCCAGTATGAATTCTTTGATGTTTAGTGAGCTGGGTCTTTTGGCAAAAGGCCTTTCCACATGCATTGCATTCATAAGGTTTGTTTCCAGTATGAATTCTCTGATGTCGAGTAAGCTGCGTTTTCCGGCTAAAGGCTTTTCCACATTCATTACATTCATAAGGTTTCTCTCCGGTATGAATTCTCTGATGACCAATAAGTTGTATGCTCTGGGGGAAGGTCTTCCCACATTCTTTACATTCATATGGTTTCTCTCCAGTATGAATTCTGTGATGGTAAGTAAGGGAAGAGCTGTGTTTGAAGGCCTTCCCACATTCATTACATTCATAAGGTTTCTCTCCAGTATGAACTCTGTGATGGGAATTAAGGGATGAGCTATGTCTAAATGTCTTCCCACAGTAATTACATTCATAAGGTTTTTCTCCTGTATGAATTCTCTGATGTCCAAGAAGCTGAATGCTCTGGGGAAAGGCCTTTCCACATTCATGACACTCGTAAGGTTTTTCTCCAGTATGAGTTCTCTGATGTAGAGTAAGGTAAGTACCTCGGATGAAGGACTTCCCACACTCATTACATTCATAAGGTTTCTCTCCAGTGTGAATTCTCTGATGTTCAGTAAGATATGCACTACGGCTGAAGGTCTTCCCACATTCACTGCATTCGTAAGGTTTCTCGCCAAAATGACGCCTCTCATGTCGAGCAAGAAGTGCGCTCTGAGCAAAAGTCCTCCCACAATCATGACATTCATAAGCTTTCTCTCCAACATTAATTTTCTGATGTTCATCAATGTGCGTGCTCTGGGAAAAGGACCCTCCACATTTATCAGACTTGCTCAGTTTCTTTTGAGAGTGATATTTTTTATTTGAAGTAATGGATGAACTGTGATATATGGAGTTCCTATATTCACAGGCCTTCTCCCCAATATGAATATTATTACATTCAGTGAGGTCAGAATTATAACTGCAGCATTTCTCACATTCACCACACCTAGAATACGTCTTCTTTGAGCAGCTTCCATTGCACTTACTGAGGTCTGAATTTAGTCTGAAATGCTTTCCGTGTCTGTCACATTTATGGAAACTCTCTGTCATTTGTTCTCTCTGTTGAGGAGAAGAGACCGGCCCCAGACTGAAGTCTCTGCCACAAGCATCACACTCATGGCCCCGCACCAAATTCAAAGAGTTCCTCTGGGTGATTTTTACCAGCTGAGAAAGTTTCTTCTCATTGCTCTGCGGACTCTCTAGCCTGGCATCACAGTGAGAGGATTCTCCAGACTTGGAGACACAGGTGCCTTCCCTTGGGAGTCCTTCCTGGGATGACAGAACCATAGGAGTGCCCAGCTTTGGAGTTTCGGTCCCAGTCTTCCAGTCTGAAAGAAAGAAAACATGTCAATATCCTCGGTGCTCACTGCCACAGGAATGAATGAAGCATTTATTCAGCGCTTGCAATGTATCAAGCAAAATGTGCTAAATGCAGAGTTCTCTTCTGTACCCTCTATAAAATGGTCAAACTTCAAAAGGGTAGGAGAAATAAGAATGCTGCCTTAAATGTGAACAGTAATTTATCATTTATTAAAGCCATTTTTGGAAGGAAACTGCTCTTCAGCTTCTTTGTAACTCTCTGATTCTGAGTCCTCATTCATCAAAGAGATGTCTCTGAGGCTCAGGAACACGCAGAAAGAACAACGGGTCTGTCAGTCTTTTCCACACTCTCCCCAGAGATGTCTGCTCTGTGGTTTCTAAGCTGCTGCCCCTCCTCCTGCCCTCTGGAAGGGACAAATGTCATGCTCCTGTGCCTTACTCAACTCAGCATAAAATGTGTATAGGAGCACGGCCGAAATATATTTAAAGGGGCAGAGCTTAAGTTTGAATGACTTCTCAATAATACAATGAGAAACGGAACAGAGAAAGAGTGCAAGGCTTTGATGACTGTATGAAGTTGGAAAGAAGGGACAAAGAATAAGGAGAATCTATGTAGGAGGGAGGGAAAACAGAAAAGGGAGACCAAGGAATGGTAAAAGGCATAACCTATGTGGAAATAACAGACAATGGACTTTCCCACTCTTACATCCCAACATTCCCATCCCAAGCACACCTTCTCACTCTCCCACCCTCAGGAAATCATGAACATTTTCAGCTCCCTGACCTTTATCATAGTTCTGGCATTAGCTGGGAGGTCACTCTACCTTTCTATCCATTCATATCCCACAAAGGCATTTCTAATGGCTAATCTTCTACAGAGCCAACTCCATTCTCTCCAGATTTCATTAAATGCCTCCTTCTCTTACTTGGAGCAATGGATAAAGCACTAGGCTTGGAGTAAGGAAGATCTGAATTTAAATTCAGTCTTAGACACCTACTGGCAGTGAGACCCTTGTCAAGTCACTTAACTCTATTTGCCTCAGTTTCCTCATCTGTAAAATGAGCTAGAGAAGGAAATGGAAAACAATTCCAGTACCTTTATCAAGAAAATCCCAAATAGGCTCACAAAGAGTGAGACAGGACTGAAACAACTGAGAACAAAATCTCTTACTTCTCTAAGGAGTTGACCACCATTTTGATCCAAAGCACGTAGGGATCATCATTGTCATTTATGGTTTACTATGACTCCGTATGCCTTATCTTTTTATCTAGGTTACAAAATCCTGGAGGCCCATGAACACATCTCTAACCCTCACGTCCCTCTCAAGGACCTTAGGGAATTCTACATAATTAGGTGGCAATCAAAAGAGATGTGTTGAAAGAACTAATGGTTGTGTCTTCTTGGAAGACAGTAAAGTAGTTCACTTGAGAATTTCAGTATCTTAGCTCTAAACTACAGTGAGAGAAGGCTAAAAATAAGTAAAAGTACCAGAAAGATTAAGAAGGAAAAGGTGTAAATCTCTCAAAGAATGAGGACCATCTGGTATGTCTCTCAGGGTTCCCTGTGTCCACTCAAACCACAAGATGACCAGGCTCGGGGTGGCTGGAAGGATTTAGCTCCTGTCACTTCTAGATCCTTCTTTTTTGACCATCATTCTGTTTTTTGGGGTTTTTTTAATCCCATTAGCCTAACAATCTAAATTTTTTTTCACTGATATCGTTTATCTTCACATTATTGTAAATTTCCTGATATATAATGATCCCATGAGACAGATGATTCACTGAGGACCCCTACGCAAATTCTAATCAGTATTAGTTCATTATGATTCTATAAGGGGCAATGCTTATTAACAATTATTTTACTATATTCATCTAGTAATACATATTTAGTGAGTCAGATAATAATAGGTATAAAAATAAGCAATGTATTAATCCATATTTTGCATAAGTCATATAGGAACATAAGTTCTAACAGAAGGGTCCTATAACAGGCCTCAAACTTTAATGTAATGTTAACAACTTGTTTACCAGTTATGGAGCTTACTCAGGTAACCACAAGAACACTGACATGGATATCTCCATCTTGTTTTACTCAAATTCCATGACCAAACAAAGCATGGGTGACATGGTACAGAAAGCCCCCCCACTATGTTTTTGGAGCTTATGTATAGCTCATACCATCTCCTCTAGCCCAACCTAAGGAGAAGTCCAACATCTTGTCATCATCTAGTTGGCCGAGAGATTCCTGCTTCACCTCACCTGTGACCCTACCAACACATCACTTTCAGCTTATGCATCACACGTCGACCAATGGGATCCTGTACTTTGTATAGCGGCCTCTTTAGAATGTCAGACAATAAATCTGGTATCAAGCCTTATAAAAATAGGACACTGGAAGGAGGGGATATCTCAGGCTTTGGCTCGGCGCTATGCCTTAGTTTCTTGTTTTAGTTGCCTGGGGTGATTTCTGTCCCCACACACAGTCAGCCAAGGCTTTAACAAAGCACAAAAATGGGGGGAAAGCAGTTCCACAAGGCTAATCACCACGACAACTGAGTCTGCTATAATATGCCAAGTGCCACGCCCAGTCTCCAACCTCTGCTCAGAACAGGCAGTGAGGAAATTTCTGTATTGTTCACAGAGGAAATCCCCATGGAAATCACTGGTCTTTCCATTTACACTGTTGTAGCCAGGGTGCATATAGTTTTCATGCTGCTGCTTACGTCACTTTTCCTGAGTTCACAAGAAGTCTTCCCAAGGTTTTCTGAATTCTTTATGGTTTCTTAGAGTACAATAATATTGTCTTACTTTCATACATCATAATGTGTTTAGCTGTTCCTCAAATGATGGGCATCTACCAAAGAAAAAAGTACAGGTATACGCAGGACAGAATTTTATTCCTTTGCCTCCTTTAGAGTACATGCGGAGGAATGGGATCTCTGCATCAAAGGGAATGGACATCTAAGTCACTTTTGTTGAACACTTTCAAATGCTTTCGAGATTGTTTGGGCCAATTCACAGTACCATCAATACAGTGTCCAAGCTCTCCTGTCCCTCCATGAATGATTATTCCATACATCCTGGCATCATTCCACAATACCTCCTTAGAGGCCTCGTTACCCAATCTGTCCAACCTAAATCCAAAAAGCAAACCCCTTTAGAAGGCGCCAAACTCCAAGTCATGCGACTCCCTCGGCGGCCTCTAACGGAGGCCCAACTGCCATGACACACCTCTCCCACTCTTGGGGGTTGCTCTGCCTGCTCAGTCACATCCAGCTCTTCACGACTCCACTGACCACAGCACACCAACACTGTCCAGAGGGTTTTCTTGAAAAAGAAACCAGAGTGATTCACCATTTCCTTCTCCAGTCACCCTGTCATTTTCAGTCACGTCTGACTCTTCACGACTCCATTTTGGGGTTTTCTTGGCAAGGACACTGGAGTGGTTTCCTTCTCCAGCTCATTTTACAGATGAGGAACTGAGGCAAATAGGGTGAAGTGACTTGCCCTCATACACAGTTAGTAAGTGTCTGAATCTGGATTTGAACTCAGGAAGAGGAGTCTTCCTGATTCTAAACCTAGTGCTCCATCCACAGCACCCTCTAGCTGCCCTTCTTCTTCACAGGATTAAGGCAAACAGAGATTAAGCGACTTGCCCAGAGTGGCACAGCTACTAAGTGTAAGAGGCCAGATCTGAACTCCATTTCTCCTGCCTCCAGGGCACTGCTCTTACCCACTGTGCCACTGAGCTGTTCGACTGGCTTATGGTGGAACACATTCAGGGGCAGGACTACATCATCACCTCTTTGTTACTGCCTTTTCCTCAGAACACAAAAGTCCATGGAAAGACTGACAAGACCCAATGGAGACTGAAGGAGCAGGATTTGAACAGACATACTCAGACTACCATCATGCAACAATACATCAGCAAGGGAAGCCTCAAACTAGGCAAGAGGAAATGGGGACAGAAGGAACTATGGAAGGCATTTTGGATATTTTTTTCCCCCAAAATCGATATACACTTTAAAAAAGAGAAAGAACATGACTGAAGGATCATGGGAGGTGAGGCCAGAGGGTGGCATCTTAGGAAGAAACCCCCAAAAATATGGAAGAGAAAGAGCCAGTGCCTGAGTCAAGGAGAGCCATCCCTCAGGGTGTTTTGGGAGGTGAAGACGAGGCTCTATAAAGAGGGTCACACAGACAACCCCAGACCCGGGGAGCTTGGAGGAAAGCCACCAATACAGATATCCCAAGTGCTTCCTTTCCCTCGATGGCCAGCTGAGCTGTCACTGGCCATGCCTGGACTGCTGGTGCCCCTCACTCACCTGCACACCAGCATCTTGGGCCTTCTCCCTCTGGTATCCAAGGTGCTCCCCCTCGTTCCAACTGGGAGATCACATCTGGTTTGGACACGGCAAGCCCTGCTCATTGGAAACAGCAAAGTGCTGCAGTCAGAGCCAACTCACAATACTCACCTAACCCACTTTATTTGGGAAACTGTGGCCATGATGCCAACACCCAGAGGCCTCTACAAAAGCTCTCCTAAGAGCAAAGTGGGAAGAGTTCCCAGAGTGGGTTTGGGCTGGGAAAGAAAATCAGCTTACTGGACCCAATCCCTGGCAAGAAGATGGAGACTCTCCATGTCTTCACTTTTCTGTCCTGGGTATGCCATACTAGGCATGCCAAACAGCCACTGCTCAACCCTGATAATACTCCACAGCAATGATGAAAGGCAGCAAAGCCCCCCCAGGGGCCAGGTTCTGGGTCCTGAGGAGCCTCCTTACCCAGGCAGACCAGGTTCCTGTAGTTCTCCAGCATCACCTCCCGGTACAGCTCCTTCTGGGCAGGGCCCAGCTGCCCCCACTCCTCCCAGGAGAAGTCCACAGCCACATCCTTGAATGTTACCGATTCCTGAAACAGCACATACATTTGGGCTTCCCCAGCGACCATCCCTCCTTTTCACCTGGCAGGAGAGGGGTGAACTTGGCAGAAACTGTCAGGAGCATGCCTCAGTTTACATTCATTTCTCGATCATGGAACCAAACAACAAGCCTCACCGTGCTCCAAAGCCTCTATGAGCTAACCAAGGTGGGCATTCCTTTCAGCCATGCGATCACCACCCATCCCTGGCTGCCCAGCCTAGGCGACTCTTGTCCATATCCTCCCATAAGTCATCCAAAACCAGTGCAGGACACCCAACGTGGTGAGAGTTTTTAAGAATTCTCTTCATGTTGGATCCCTAGCAACAGGGTCTGAGGACAGTCCGTGGGGACTTACGGCCACCTCCCAATCCCATGTCCAATTCCCTGGCCACAAGCCACATTACACTCAGTAATGCATCCCCACTCCCCTCCCTCCCCCTGCCCCATCACAACTGTGCTTAACCCTGGGGTTTGGTTTCCACCTAGGGCTTTTCCTGACATCTCGTCCTCTGCTCCATAATCTGTCCTTTTTTTTTTTTTTATTAAGGGCCAACCCTGACGCTGGCTGCCCAGCCCAGCCAGCACCTCTGGTCTAATCCCTTAGCTCCCCCAAGCAGAAAAGAGTTATACATAAAGGGAAAAATCTAAGACTTCCCAAGATGATACATATCCACTGACTAGGGGAGAACTTAAAACTATCCAGGAAAGTGCTGGATTGACAAATACCTGGCAGTTCATCTTGGATTGACAGGAATCACCTAGAAGCCAATACTGGCTGCTCTGCTCAGAATCCCAGCATCTTGGGCTTGACCGTTTCCAGCCTGTGTCCAAGTCTCTGGTAAGTGGGGTGGGAGCTGCAGGGGAAAGAGGAGGTGCCAGCTGCCACACCTCTGAAGAGGCTCAGTCCCCTACTGGACACGCTCATAGCTGGGCACGTTGTCCTCCCAGCCAGCTTCCTCCTGGTCCTCTTCACCTGGCCAGTCCCTCCAGAAAACTGGCCAGTTTCCCAGCTGTGTGAAAAGTCTCTGCCCCACTCAGGGCCTCAGGCTCCTCTCCTGTAAAATGGGTGGCTGGACCCCATGATCTCTACCCTGCCTTCCCTCTCTAAACCCAGGACGGCTCCAATTTCTGAAGCTCCAGGCCACAGGAAAGACAAGTTCACACTCTCAGGCCCAGGCCACTGTGGCCACCGCACGTGACGAAAACTCACCCCCAGAGCCCCAGCCGTCAGGCACACAGGAACCATTTCTTCCTCTTCCTCCTCCTTGGTCCTTCCTGCTTTGGGAAAGGGCAGTTCTTACAGGCAGAGCTGTGGAGATGAAGGGAACAATTAGACTCCAGGAATCTATGAGCATTAATTAAGCTCCCACTCTGTGCTAAGCACTGCAAAGACACAAATGAAATAGGCCCTGCCCTCAAGGAACTTACACAGTGCCAGAAAACATCCACACATATGCAGAAAACAAGTACAGACTAAGTAAGCAAATGCAAGGTGATTTCAGGGTGGACGTCACTGACCATGGATGGGATCAGGAAAGGCCTCACGCGGCAGGTGGCATCCCCAGAGTGGAGGTTAGTACATATTCCTGGGGCATTCCAGACAAAGGCAGAGGTTGTGTCATGTGTGAGGAAAGAGGAATGCCACAGAGAGCAGTCTGCAGGAAGAGGAAGAATGTGCCACACTCCTAGAAATGCAGTGAGGTACTGGCTGGGGAAAGGCCACATCCAGGAGCAGCTGTCTGGAGCTACAGACCTGGGCCTTAGTCACTTGACTCGGACAGCTGTGTAGGTTCTGATTTGAAGGGGGCAGACAGTACCAGTTACTGTACTAGTCCGAGAGCTGATGCAGGCAGAAGCAGCCTGGGTTAGCAGCTGATTAGCCATGCAGGGTCAGGGGAAGAAGATGGCTCTAAAGCTGCAAACTTCAATAGATAAATGGATGGCTGTGACCTCGAAAAAAGACACATTTTGAAAAGGGGAGTGTTTGGGGATAACAAGAGTGAGTTGTTTTAGTCATGTTAAATTTGAGTTGCCCAGAGAATTTGCAGTTGAGAAGTCCCAAATGGCAGGCAGCTGGTGATGCAATAGTATCTCTCAGAAGAAAGACTAGGGGGGCTAATTAAGTTTGGGACTCATCTGCATGGAGCTGGTACAGTTATCAAACCCAAGGGGGCTGATGAAGCCACCAAGTGATGCACCAAGGGAACAGAAGGATCCCCAGAATAAAGCCTTCAGTTAGGGAACCAGAGATGGATGATGACCTAGTAAAGAAACTGATAAGAAGTGATCAGATAAGCAGGAGAAGAAAGCTAAAGTCTGACACTCAGACAACAATGACAAAATATGGGAAAAGTCAACGTTGGAGGGGATGTGGGAATATAAGCATTGCTGGTGGAGCTGTGAATCAATACAACCATGTTGGAAAGCAATGAAGGAATTAAAACAGCAAGTAGCACAGGAAATTGAGTGAAGCACACTGACTCCATCTCGCGACTCAATTCTGGACCTAGCTCCGTTCCCTTTCTATTCAATAATGAGTCTAGTCCAATTTTTGTCTTGTGGAAGAAGTTTATCTCATTGTGGGAAGTGACATTGTTTGAACCTAGCCATACCTGCGGGGAAGCTGAACCACCTCTACTTGCAGCTTAGAGACCCTTAAGGAAAGCCCTAGGTTATGCTGACCAGTCAGATCCAAAGATTAATGCAAGGAATTTTCTCACGATTATACATATCAAGCAACCCATATGTCTTATCTGAAAACCAGCCCCACAGTGGTCAATCAGTTTTTGTTTACATGCTCCTTTGACTGAATACAGACACTCAGGGAAGTGAGACACCTCTTCTGATTTCAAGGCATTGTATTATTTCACTCTTCCCCTCCCAGCTAGCAAAGTCCCTAATCCTTCCTCCACTTAGAAATCAGAGAAGCTAATTTTGCATCCTGATTGTTTTCTTTTAACTAACAGGTCTTATTTGATCAATTATTTTTCATGCATAGAAATCCATCTCCCCCTCGGGTCAGGATCCACAGCCAAAGTTGAGGAGGCCTGGCCCTGATTTGTTATGCAATTGGCGGGCACTGCTTAACAAACTGATGTGCATGGACGCTTAAACCTTTGTTTCCTCAAGCATTTCATCTTTCACCTACAGATAAAATAACTAAAACCTCATTTTATGCTTTGACCCAGAGGCCCATGCCTCAAAGAGGTTATTGGTAAGAAGAAAGTGTCCACACACAACAAAATATTTACTGCAGCAAAAAGTTTGATAGCAAAGAACTGGAAACTAATTAGACGCCCACTGATTTGGGAATGGTTTTTTAAAAATTATGATATACGATTGTAATGGAATGTTACTCTGCTCTAAGAAAAGACAAATCTAATTAACAGAGAGAAGCAAGGAAAGATTTACACAATCAGATGTAGAATGAAGCAGAACCAAGAAAATAATACAGAGAGTGATGACGACACCATGAATTGGAAAGACTCACCAACGCAATCAAACGTGAATGGTGCATTATTATAAAGAAGAAGCCCGGCCTCAAAAAACAACACCGCTTCCCATTCCTTTGCAAAACGCGGAGGTCCGGCACTCCGGCACATCGACTATACTGTAAGACCTATTTAATGTTCTAATTAGTTTCGCTGATTATTTTCTCTTTTTTTAAAAATTTTTTGTTTCCTCTTCAAAAATATTTCTTATGGATGATGGTTCTCAGGGAAGGATATTGAGGAAAATTTTGGAGCTTTAAAAAAAGAGAGAAATGAACAAAAATTTCCTTTTCTTTATAAGCAAAAAAAAAAAGCACCGTCAGAAAAATTCAAAGAGAGGTAAGTATCTAGGAGTAGTTCAAGCACTGTCAGTGATATCTGAAAGATCATGAAAAACAGGCAGGTACCACAAAGTTGGACAATGGCAAATGTCCCAGTTTATAAGAAAAGGAAGGGAATAAAATCTGTAATCTATAGAACAATGAGCTAGACTTCAGTTCCTGGGGGAAATCATTAAAGAGATGGTTGTTGAACATCTAGAAAGAAAAGAGGTGACTGCAAAAGGCTCCTCTGCATTCCCCAACATCAGGTCACACAGCACGACCCTCATTTCTTTTTTTAACAGGATGACTAAAGTCATAGATGAGGAAAATGCTGTGGATCCGGTTCACCTTGATTTTAGCAGAAATTATTATAAAGATCATTCTCAGGGAAAAAGTGTCAATAGAGAACAGACACCACTACAGTAAGAATGGTTCAGACTGGTTGAACGTGGTCACTGGGTCAATGGCCAAGGGGTGGGAGGTCTCCAGGCGAGGCCCCAGGGATCTGTGCGCAGCCCGCAGTCTAACATTGATATCAGCACGGTATTCTTATCCAATCTGCAGATGTCACAAAACTGGTTGGTTGACTCAACATTATTTTTGCTCAGGTGCAAGCCTTTACACTGAACTCTACTGAATTTCATCTTGGGAGATTCAACCCGATGCTCAAACAGCCTGTGAAGGTCATTTTGGAGCCTAAGTTTGAGACAAATGTCAGACAGAGAGGCTGCTAGGTAGCAGAGAGGCTGCTAGGTAGCAGAGAGGCTAGCGTGCCAGGCCTGGAGTCAGGAAGATTCATCTCCTGAGCTCCAATCTGGCCTCAGACACATACCAGCTGTGTGACCCTGGGCTAATCAATTCACCCTGTTTGCCTCAGTTTCCTCATCTGTACAATGAGCTGGAGAAGGAGATGGCCACCCACGCCGGTATCTCGGCCAAGAAAACCCCAAACAGGGTCATAAAGAGGCACGCACGGCTGAAATGACTGAACGGGTCAGGCAGAAGTTGTTCTGAAAAAGATCTGGGGGTTTTAGTGGACTACAGACTTAACCTCTCTCGCTCCCTTAAAAACACTCCCTTCTCTCGGCTGACAACCGGCCCCTTCCAGTGAAGGTCTTCAGCCCCTCCAGCCTGGGCTGCCTGCCCCCCCCCCCAGTCCATGTCCGGACCCCCGGCTGCTCCCCAAGCCCTCCCACGGCGCAGCGGCCCTCCCGGCCGGAGCCCTCCACCCCCGGGTACTGGAGGCCACCCCGTCCGGGCAGGCCTCCGCTCCGCAGGGGGCTCCTGCACCCCCTGCCCCGGCGCCTTTCCTCGGTATCCCCAATTCTCCCGACTGGGTCTGAGTGGTCCCGGAGGGCGGAGACCCTTCCTCACGCCCGGCCCTGGCACAGCTGGAGGCCGGGGCGGGGGGGGGGCGGCACGGAGGGACGGAGTCTGCGAGGCCCGGGGCCTCCAGGGTCCCCTCCATCACCGGCCCGGGCTCGGGAGCCAGGAGCGGGCGGGCTCAGGAAGGCACCCCGGGGAGCGAGGCGGGAGGAGGCTGGGCCCGCAGGGGGAGGAGGGCCGGATCCTACACCAGGCCCCACTACAGCGGCCTGCATGACAGACATCTCGCACCCCTGCCTCTCTCTCTCTCTCTCTCCGGCTACACCCCAGCACCTCCCCCTCCAGGGGCTCCGGGCTAAATTCAAAATCATTTCCAATCGGGAGGCCTTCCTGGAGGAGGTAATACAGGGCGGGACCCACACTGGGAGCAGTACAGGCAGCAAGGCCCGCCCCGGCCCCATGTCGCTGATTGGCTCCCAGGACAAGCCCCGCCCTGAACTGGACCAATGGCCGGCGGGCAATGGGAGGGACCGCTCGTCCACTGCCTCCCTTACCCTCCCCTCCCCAAAGACTCCGAGTCACCGCACTGCGCAGGCTCAGACCCCTCTGGGTCCAGCCTAAGACTCACCCCGGGCCAGGACGAAGGGCTCCGGCAGCAGAGGGGGGCGGCTGAAGATGAAGCGGCGCTGTGATGGTGAACCTGACGAGGCAGACGCAGAACCCTCGGAAGTGACGTAGGGGGATTGGGAGGAAGTGACGTAAAAGGGAGGGAGGGAGCGAGACAGGCCCGGGGAGGTATCTGCGCATGAGCTCGGAGGCACAGAGCGCACGTGATTACCCCCTGCTGCGCGGGCCGTCCAGAGCGCACACGCTCCTCTGCGCCCGACCGTAGCCGAGGCTTGATAAGGCAAGGGCCTCCCGGGGGCCCCCAGGTCTCCGTCCCCTTCCTCCGAAGGGGCCCGGGGCTGAGCAGGGGGACCCAGACACACTCCTGAGCACGTGAGGGAAGGTTCGCCGCGAAGGCCTTAGGGAAGGGGCGTTTCCTCATTGGAGGAGGAGAGGAGCTGGAGTCCTAGACCGGGCTCAGCCCGAGGGGACACGCGGGGTTCTGTTAACGTGGCCCAGAAGAGGGGGACGCGGCTGTCGGGGAAAGGCGCCTTGAAGGAGGCTCCGAACTCCAGCCCGGAGGGAAAACCCGCTGGAAACCCCCGAGGCAGGATCGGTACCGAGTACCTGTACCGGCCTGGCCCGGCAGCCCGGCGAGGCCCGCTTGACGTCGCTTCAGACTTGTCCGGTCTCGGGAGCCGACGCCCTCTGCCCGGGTCACCTGACGGTCTGCGGGGCTCTCCGGTCTGGCCCCCCCAGCCTGACCACACTCCGTGTGGCTCGGGCGGCCGGGTGTGGGAGTGACGCTGTGGGGGAGGGGATGATCACAGGTCCAAATCCCGCCTAATCCCCGACTTCCCGGGACTGGGGCGGGGCCGCCCCAAGCGGCTGTCAGGTGTGAGTGACACGCGTTCTCGGGGCGCCTGGGCCTGGGGTCGAGAAGATTGTCTTTCTGAGTTCGAACCGGCCTCGGAGACTTGCTGGAGGTGTGACCCTGGGCACGTCACCCACCCCTGTTTGCCTCAGCTTCCTCTTCCTGGCAAATGAGCCGGAGAAGGACACGGCCAACTCCTCGGGTGTCTCTGCCAAGAAAACCCCAAGCGAGGGCACCAGAAGCCCGGGCTCCGACAAAGTACCGGACCCCAGCAAGCGGGGCCCTTGTCAAAGGCCTGCATAATGTCAATCTTCCGAGTCGAGGACAGAGAACCACGCCTCGTCATCCGGCTCCCTGCTCGCTACCCAGTGACCTAACAGACGCCTTTCTGAAACGCTTTCAGATTTTGGGGGGCTGTTCTTGGGGAAGGTATTCAGAAACAAAGAACGGTGGCTCGGTGTGGGCCAGATCCAAAGACCTAGGCAAGGACTAACCTCTCAGAACTGGGAGTGGAGGTGTTCATGACCAAAGCGCAAAGCAGACAGTTTGAATGGCACAGAATTAAAAAGGTTGTGCGCAAATGAAACCAATGCAGTTAAAATTAGGATAGAAGCGGATGAATGGGGAAAGCCTCTTAGCAAGTTTCTCCTAAAGATCTCATTTCTAAGATGTGTAAGAAACGTTTAAATTTATAAGAACAAGACCCATTCCTCAGCTGATAAATTGATAAAAGAGATGAATAGAAAGCTTTCTAAGGAACAAATCCAACATGTAGAAACATGCTGAAAGTCACTAATAATTAGGGAAGTGCAAATTAGAGCAACACTGAGGTTCCTTCTTATCTGCCCAGGTTCCACCTCGTACCCATCAAATTGGAAAAGTTAAAAAAAGGAAAAGGACAAGTGCTGGCGGCTTTGTGTGAAAACAGATAGGTTAACACAGTGAAGCCATTCTAGAAAGCAGTTTGGAACAGTGCCCCCAAAGCTATGCATGCCTTTGACTCAGCAATACCACTACTAGATCTTTACCCCAAAGAGATCAAAGAGAGAATAGGACCCAGATGTGCCAAAATATTTATAGTAGCTTTTAAAATATGTATTTAATAACTCATTTAAATTATTATATGAATAATTTTAAAACAAAAAATATGAAATACCGGCAAAGAGACTTAAACAACGTTTCACAAAGATTACACACTATAACTAGGATGTATTTATATACTAGGAAGGCAGTGTTGGTTTAATATTAAGAAAATTATAAACCTATATTAACAAAATTATATGATTATCTCAATAGAGGCCCAAAACCTTTTAATAAAATATTCAATAAAATAGTTTAGAACACTAGAAAACAAATGGACCTTTCATTAAGATGATAATGTATACATGTGCATATATGTAAACATACCTATGTCTATGTATGTAGTTTGTATACACATGGGTATATATGTATACATACATGTAGTTCTGCTATGTTTCAAAAACCAAATACCTCAATTTTGAGTTTGCTTCAGAGTTATTTTTCCCATGAGAAACAGCAAGAATGCAGAAAATTATTCCCCTTACAATAACATAATCTGGCAACCCTTCTGCTGCCTACATCCACAAGCAAACCAGATATTTTTCAAGGTGAAGGATCATATTGTGTATCTTCTGATGCAGTAGGAGCTCTAAGTGGAGAAGGACCGTGTCTTACCAGTCCCACCCCCATCCCCTTTCAGCCCCTTCCACTGGGCTCAGACAACCAGAGGCACAGCCTGCCCAGCTTGCTTCTGCAGACCAAAGCATTGGCTGAGCAGCAGCCAGAAGTGGTGGACTTTACAGCTACTGAATGAGTATTTATGTATCTCTTAACCATTTAACGTATATTAAACAGCACTGCTTTCTGTGTTTATCAGGTTCCTGTCTTTTTTATACATGTCGCTGATGAAGTTTTTGAGTAATATGCCCTTGATTCCATTTCCCCCATAAACTCTGTGGTTTGTATTGCAAGATTTTGCATAAGTTGGTGGTTTGGGGGGAAATATGTGTCATGTTATAAGCAGAATCCTCTGCTTCTATAACCAAGAGCCGCTCCTGTAATGGAAATAAGTAGAATCCTTTTTAGTAAATTCAAGAGTAAAACAAGCGTGACCGTTGTCATGATTCTGTTTGACACAGTACAAAAAATGGTTCTCTAACAATAAGACAATCAAAATCAATTAATAACCATAGATAAGTAACAGAGATAAGATGGTGTATTATTGAAATAACTTCAGCGAAATTTCAGAATATAAAATTGTCAGCATTTCTGTAAAATACCAATAAAATCCAGAAAAGATAAGATATTCTATTTAAAATTACTAAAGAATGTATAAACTATTTGGAACTCTGCCTTCTAAGATGCACACAAGAACTAGCTAAACACAACATAAATAACTTTAGAGAAAAAAGATTTAAATAATTGGAAAAATATTGATTACTCATGGGTAGGCAGAGACAATAAAAGTGAAAATAGCAACAAAATAAACTGAATTATTCAGTGCCATATCCAACTGCCAAAAGATTTCTTCATAGAACTAAAAAACATAACAATGAAATACATATATGAAGTTTAAAAAAAGAGGAGGGGGGGTCAGGAATCTAAAGAGAAATAAAGAAATGGGAACAAAGAGCATCTAGCAGTGCCAGATTTCAAACTATGGCGCAAATCAGGAATTATTCGAGCAATACGGCACTGGGTAAAATGGAGACCTCCACCAGTATGACAGATGAGCCGCCCAACATGCAGAAGCCAACGTATCTAAAGCCTCAGTATTCAATAAACATGGCTCTGCCTACTCATGTGTGTTATCTTTGCTGGCTGAATGTCATCTCCTGAAGGCTGAGGCACATCGTGTTCATATCTTCAGCATCTTGCTTGGTATGTGGTAGGCACTTGATAAGTTAGCATTGATTGGTGTGCATGTGCATGTGCGTGTACGTGTGTGTGTGTGTGTGTGTGTGTGTGTGTGTGTGTGTTGAGATGATAGGTATCTCCTAACCAACCCTGCCCAAATGAAACAAGAACTTTAACCAAGGGGACAGCGAAGTAGCACAGTGCATAGAGCACCGGCCCTACAGTCCAGGGGACCTGAGTTCAAATTTGACCTCAGACCTTGACACTTATTAGCTGTGTGACCCTGGGCATGTCACTTAACCCCACTGCCTCACCAAAAAAAAAAAAAGAAAGAAAGAAAGAAAAAGAAATTTAACCAAGATGTGGATTGAAACTATAAATATAGGAAGATTTTCAGAAGATAATCCACTGTGTAAAAAATAAATACAACTGACTTTGTTAAAGACTTGAAATCAAATTAATAAGACTTGAGTTTAAAATCATGTCACAGATATTTGCCAACTTTGTGACCTTGAAATTTATGTAGATTTTAAAAAATATTTCAAAAACTTTCCTACAGACTAGATAATTTTTGAAAGTTGCATTCTGAAAATACTGTAATTGAATGAAAGTGACTGATAATTATAACTATCAACTAAATACAATACTGTTTTTATTCAACCCTCCCCTTCTGAGTGCAGGATCTGCAAGGCAAACTTTTGCCTTTCAGTGTTACACTAATGGTATTCACAAATGCTTTCATATGCTCTTTTAAGCCTGATTTCTAAAATAAAACAAAATTATGTGACTACAAAAATCCAGGAATGGGGCCGTGCAGATGCCACTCAAGGAATATAAAAAGATATTTTAGTGCATGGACATTAGGGGAATGGGTGCTAAATTGGACTTCCCCAAACATCAATATAAGATCTCTGTGATAATATTTGTTAAACAAAATGATGCACTGAATTTCAAGAATGGCCAAACTTACTGTGCTTACTGGAGGAACGAGATGAAAAATGACAACATATTCATAAGAATAGTAAGATAAAAAGTTCACTAACATACAATTCTACCAAGTCACTCAACTGTTACTTTTGCATATAAAATATAATTTTACACTGGTATGATACATACAATGATAGCTGGCATTTATATTAATGATCCCCAAGTCATTGTAAGATCCTGAAACACTCTCTGAATCATCACAGAAAGATTAAACTGTGTTCTATAGGGGAAAAATCTGAGAACTTCCCAAGATGATACACATCCACTGACTAGGGGAGAACTTAAAACTATCCAGGAAAGTGCTGGATTGACAAATACCTGGCAGTTCATCTTGGATTGACAGGAATCACCTAGAAGCCAATACTGGCTGCTCTGCTCAGAATCCCAGAATCTTGGGCTTGACCGTTTCCAGCCTGTGTCCAAGTCTCTGGTAAGTGGGGTGGGAGCTGCAGGGGAAAGAGGAGGTGCCAGCTGCCACACCTCTGAAGAGGCTCAGTCCCCTACTGGACACACTCATTGCTGGGCACATTGTCCTCCCAGCCAGCTTCCTCCTGGTCCTCTTCACCTGGCCAGTCCCTCCAGAAAACTGGCCAGTTTCCCAGCTGTGTGAAAAGTCTCTGCCCCACTCAGGGCCTCAGGCTCCTCTCCTGTAAAATGGGTGGCTGGACCCCATGATCTCTACCCTGCCTTCCCTCTCTAAACCCAGGACGGCTCCAATTTCTGAAGCTCCAGGCCACAGGAAAGACAAGTTCACACTCTCAGGCCCAGGCCACTGTGGCCACTGCACGTGATGAAAACTCACCCCCAGAGCCCCAGCCATCAGGCACACAGGAACCATTTCTTCTTCTTCCTCCTCCTTGGTTCTTCCTGCTTTGGGAAAGGGCAGTTCTTACAGGCAGAGCTGTGGAGATGAAGGGAACAATTAGACTCCAGGAATCTATGAGCATTAATTAAGCTCCCACTCTGTGCTAAGCTCTGCAAAGGCAAATGAAATAGGCCCAGCCCTCAAGGAACTTACAGTTGGTCAGAAGAGATTACCTGAGGGGCAGCTAGGTAGCGCTGCAGTGGATAGAGCTAGGGCCTTGCTAGTCAGGAGGACCCGAGTTCAAAAATTGGCCTCAGACACATGATACTTACTAGCTATGTGACTGTAGGCAAGTCACTTAACCCTGATTGCCTCACCAGAAAAAAAAAAAAGAGATTACTTGTACACCCATACAGCTATATACGTGAAGTAGTAAAAGTTTGGTTGTATGGGACAAAGTCTGTTTCTGGGGAAGCAAAAAAAAAGCAGTTGCTAAGTTAAATTTACTTTGACAGTTCACTTATCTTCAGCTTAGGTCTGCATAGATTTCTAAGAGGAGTAACTTCTGAAGTTAAGTCTCACTCGGTTCTGAGACAGAAGCTGGTCATTTGAAGGTGACAAGCTAAAGAATACTAGATTAATGCAAGACACAGTCTGCGGCAGTGTTTGGAACATGGAGAATTGGCTAATTTGGGGTTAGTAATGAGGGAATATAGATACTTAAACTATTGGTGATTAGGGACAAATGTCATTTGTTGATCATAAAGAGGTGACAATTTGATTATTATCCATAAGACCTTTGTTTTTGCTTTTTGGTGAGGCAATGGGGTTCTAAGTGACATGGCCAGGGTCACACAGCTAGTAACTGTCAAGTGTCTGAGGCCAGATTTGAACTCAGGTCCTCCTGACTCCAAGGCTGGCACTCTATCCACTGCGCCATCTAGCTGCCCCACCCCCATAAGTCATTTGTAGAAAGGTCTCTGAGTCTGAACCTAGGGAGATGAGAGCGATAAAAGCACAAATTTCAGCTGACCTTACAGGGATGGAAACATCCACTTGCTGTTGGGCAGTAAGCCCAGTTGAGAAGAGGAAGAAACTGGAATCAGAGAAATCGCCTAGGGAATCACTGTTTGGCTAAAACATCACGTCTAGTTAGTCAGGAACAATGAGGTTCAATTCAGCTCAGCTAAGGTAGCATCAGCTCAAAATAGAAGCTATGCTCATCAGGTAATTGTTATGGAAAGTCCCTGAGTCAGAGAACATCACACAGTGTATGTAGGCTAGAAGCAGCCCCGTGTGGGCCTCTGCCAGCTGTAGAGAGACCCTGGCCAACTGGGCAGGGCAGAAGCAGCATGAGTCCTGGCCATGTGGATAGCAAGTGAGGAATGGGGTGGGTCCACTTAGCTATTCTGATGGACCCCCCCCCCCCACTCCCCAGTTCTGTGGCAACCATGAGGAGACCTGTTGGTGCTATAAACTGGATATTTATAGGCAGCCACAGATGAGAGGAAGGAGAGTCGTGGGCCAGAAAACCGGGAGAATTGGGAAGGTGTGAATTACCCTTATATACTTTCACGACAGCTAGTCCTGCTGCAGACATGGAAGTTGTTGGGTATACCTGGGCCCTCCAGGGTTCACTTTGCTCCCAGATGGATGGAGCTGGGACTCACCCATGGGCCCTTTGGGCAAAAAGAGTATAAAAGCAATGTTCAGGACTCAAGCAGGGAGTTCCTGAGACCACCAGGGAACTTTCTGGAAGACTGCTTTTAACTTACTTGTTGGTAGCACAGGGCTAATATTTTTATTAAATGGATTGTTTGTTTGAACTCTTGAGTTCTGAATAACCTCTAACATAAGATAGTGAATAATGACCTAGGAAACCACTGTAGTTACCCAGAGTTTTCCTTAATCATCCTTCATGGGCTTCTGAAAATATGACCATTCTGTCCTACAGACACTGAAAACACTGGTAGGAGAAATGTGACAGGTTTACGTGTGAAATCATGTATTTATTTTCCCTGCATTTGACTTAAATGAGTAGTTTTGATTCTATTATTATTGCTTTCACCTTATTGTCAAGTAAAAGGTTATATTTAAGATAGAATATGTCATCACTGTCAGTGCCTAGGTTTGTCTAAATGGATGCACACTAATGGTGGTTCAAGAGCCAAAGTGAGGAGGAAGTTGATCACTGAAGACCCCTACTCTATTCCAATCAATACCAATCCATTGGATTCGATTATACGTTCTGTATGTGTGGCACCAGAGCTGTGGGCTTCGGGTGGTAAGATCACTTGCGTAATCACAGGAAGCTAGCTGAAGGCCCTCTGCCTTGTTTTTCCTTGTCGTGGTAACCAAGCCCCGTGTGACAGAGGTGACTCGACTACATGAAAAGTCCCCTAAAATTATTTTTGTACCTCTGGACCATTCTCTCTTGTCCAACATGAGCAGGTGCCCATTTTATGACCATCTTATGACCACCGACTCAGCAGAGACATTCCTTTCTTTGCCCACCTCGTGACCCTGCTGAAATACTGTTTTGCTAATTTTAGCCTATATGTCACATGTCAACCAAAGGAATTATTCTGTTTCTGGTATACCTGTTCTTGAATGTTTGCACATCTAGCCCTATAAAAACAGGGCCCTGGAAGGAGACGGCATCTCAGGTTGTGAGGAAGGGACCAAGGACCCTTTAAGAAAGTGCCATTGGCTCAGAGCTGTGCCTCAGTTTCTCTCACTGTAGGCACAGTGGCAAGGAGAATGTATTCTTAGAAGGAGCTTGAGTTTGAGTTCCCAGGTGTATTGGCAGATCTCTGGAAACCCCGAGGTTTCCCAATGAGAGCAGGTTGGAGTGAACCAGCCAAGCCAGAGATCAAGTAGGTGTCCAACACTCTATGTGAGAGATATGAAGTCCTGCATTGTGGGCGGCCATCATTCCCCACCCCGCACCGTGCACACACATAAACTTAGACACAATGTACAAAGCGCATACAAAATGAATACAAGTGAATTTCAGGTGGCATCTAGGCATCAAGACTGAATCTACACGAATTCATTCTGTGAAGTTTGGATTCAGAGGGCCGCACTTGAGGACCGAGAGGGCCACACGTGGCCTCGAGGCCGCAGGCTCCCCACCCCTGAACTACAGTTCTCCAAGGTGGAAGGCAGAAGAGACGTGAAGGGTGGGGATCGCCTACGAAAAGGCACAGGTGGAAGAAACCCTGCATTTGTAAGAACTGGAAAGAGTGCAGGAAAGAGTCAGGTATAATAAGCCTGGCAAGTCGGTTGGAGCAAGCAGTGAAAGGTTTTAAGAGCAAAGGAAAGAGTTTGATTGAACCCAAAAGGGAGTGGCACGGATAGATGTGTGCTTTGAGGATTGCCCACAGGCAGCTGTATGAAGGGTGCACGGCAGAGAGGAGGCACTGAGGCAGACCAAGAAGAATGCTCCTGTAGCAGCCCAGGGGAGCCGTGAGGGGCTGGACTCGAGTGTGTGAGTGGAAAGACCCAGGCTGTGGAGGGAGAGGGAGGAGGCAGCATGCGAGTGCGGAGAAGGCAAGGATGGCGGTCCACTCGAAAGGAACTGGTCAGTGTGGAAGAGGGGCGGAGTTAGGAGGGAGATAACGAGTTTTCTCTGGAACAGGTCCTCCTGGAGGTGCACGAAGAACATCCGGCTCCCAAGTCCTAGTCTGCTCTTCTCTTGGCTACCTCAGCTCATCCCACCACCTGCCTCTGCGTGTTCTGCTCCTATGCCGTTGGACGAAGCCTGGAGAAGCTTCACAACTGCCAGGCTGTGTCGCCCAAGCGTGCCTGGCAATCAATCAAGTTAGGAACCTGCACTGTGCCAGGCACGGTGCTAAGCGCTGGGGCCCCAAAAGACAGTCCCTGCCCTCAAGGAGCTTACAGTATAATGGGGGCAGAGAGCAGTGAGCAAAGCGATGACAAACTACACACAGGATAAATAGGAACAGTGAAGAGCAGGAAGGCACTCAAGTGACGAGTGACTGAGAATGGCTTCCTGCAGAAGGTGGAATTTTAGTTGAGACTTGAATGAAACCAGGAAGTGGAGAGGAGGAGGAGAGCATTCCTGGCATGGGGGGCAGCCAGAGAAAGGGCCCAGAGCCAACAGCGGGAGTGTCTTCTTCAATAAACAAGGAAGCCAATGTCACTAGAGTGAAGAGTATATGGAAGGGAATAAGGTATAAGAAAACAGGAGAAGGTGTAGAGGACTAGGCTATAAAGGGCTCTGAATGCCAGAGAATTTTTCATTTGATTCTGGAGCTGAGAGGGAACCCCTGGAGTTCATCGAGAAGGGCAGTGACATATCAGACCTGTGTTTTAGGAAGATCACCGTGGTGGCACAGCTGAGGATGGACCGGAATGGGGAGAGACTCAAGGCAGGCAGACCTCCCAGTGGGCATCTGCAGTAGTCCAGGCATGAGATGGTGGTGGTCTGCACCGGACTGGTGTCTGTGTCAGAGGGGCATTCAAAAGATACTGCAAAGGCGATGTCAACAGGCCTTGGCAACTGCTCGGACATGGGTGGGGGTGGTGAGAGATCATGAAGAATCCAGGATGACCCCCAGGTTGGAAGCCTGAAGGACTTCGAGGATGGCGTCGGCCTCAACAGCAACAGGGAAGGTGCTGAGTGTAAAATGTCTATCGGACGTCCAGTCTGAATTGTCTGGAAGGCATCTGGAGATGCAAGCCTGGAGGTCAGCAGAGAGACTGGGGCAGGATGGGGAGGTCAGCATAGAGATGGTAGTAGCATAGATAGTTTAATATATCATTTATGTTACATATAATTAATTATGTATAATCAGTAAACAATATACTACAATAGCACTTGCATGCTTCCCTAGTTATTCGTTATCTCATTCCTCACCAAAAACTACTGCAAACCTTTTTTTATGAGGTAATTGGGGTTAAATGACTTACCCAGAGTCACACAGCTAGTACGTGTCAAGTATCTGAGGCTGGATTTAAACCCAGGTCCTGTGCTCCATCCACTGCGCCACCCAGCTGCCCCACAAACCTTCGCTTTTCTCCACCACACCTACATCTTGTCTCCCTCTCTCAGATGAGGACCTTGCGATGAAACCATATAATGTCTCAGGTGAGAGACTAGGGTTGGATATATAGAAGTGGTAACCATCAACATAGAGTTAATCATTGAATCTTTAGTGGGTGATGAGGTCACCAAGTGAGACTGTGAAGAGAGAGACTAGAAGGAAATCCAGGGCTTAGCTCTGGGGCACACTCATAGTTAGGATACATAAGATGGATGATGAACTAGAAAAGGAGGCTGATAAGGAGCAGACAAGTAAGGAAAAAACAAGAGAAAGCAGTCCCAAAACTCCAAAGAGGGAAGAAAAGAGTGGCGAGGAGGAGTGAGTGGAGGATGGTGTCAATGAGGAGGGTCCAGGAGAGACCATCCGTTTGGGCAATTCAGAGAGAGCAGCTTTCAGTTGAAAGTTGAAGTCGGAGGCAGAGGTATGAAATGAGACTGGTTCAGGTCCCCTTCCACGCTCCCAGGGGCTACAGCAACAGCCTACCTTGTCTCCATCCGGCACTTGGCGAATTAGAAAGGGGATCTCTCTAAAGCCCGAGTCTGGCCACATCACCCTCCTGCTCACGGAGTTCCAGCAGCTCCCTGTTAATGTCTCTGCAGTCTGATTCCTGACCTCATCAAGCAACCAAAACTGCTGTCTCTAGAAGCTACCAGTGTTCTCTTTTCTGCCGTCACCCTCCTCAGCCTTATCCCCTGCACCTGACACTGCTGACCACTCTCTTCTCTCTGAGTTTTCATCACACTCCTCTCCTCTGGTTTGCCTCCTGTCTAAATCCTCCTCAGTCTCCTTTGCTGGCTCACCAACCACATTATACCACCTAACTGTGGCTGCTCCCCAAGATCTGTCTTGGGCCCCACTCTTATTCTCCCTCTCTACTCCAGGTAACCTGGCATCAGCTCTCATGGATTGAATTCTCACCTCCGTGATCTATACATGAAGCCCGTCTCTCCCCTGAGCTCCAGTCAGTCCCACATCACACCCACAGTCCCAACAGGATGTCGATGTCCCGTAGGCAAATTAAACTTGATATGTCTGAAGCCAAACTCATTGTCTTCCTCCCTAAACCCCTCCCTCTTCCAAATGTCACCATATTTGTGAAAAGCACAACCGCCTCACCCCAGCATCTCTGCCTTCTTAGCATCGTCCTGGATTCCTCCAGTGTTTGATCAGTTGTTTCTACCTTTACTCACAGTGTTCACGTCCAGCCCCCTCTCCCCACTCACAGCACTGCCCTGGGCATGAGTCCTCATCACGCTCATGGATTTTACTGAAATCTTCTAATGGGTCTCCGTGACTCGAGCTCTTCCCAGTGCAGTCCACCCTCCCGCCACCTCTGCCGCCAAAGTGATCTTTCTTAAACGAAGCCCTCACCACTCACTGTCCCACTCATCAACAGGAGGGGCTTCCTGTCACTCGGCAGCGAGGTGGTACAGTGCATAGAGCTGGACCTGAAGTCAGGAAGATTTCACTTCAAATTCAGCCTCCGACACTCACTTAGCTGTGGGACCCTGGGCAAGTCACTTAACCCCTGGGCCTTAGTTCTCTTGGTCTTGTTTCCTCATTTGTAAAACGTGACCTACATCACAGAGTTGTGCAGATCACGAGATTTTTGTACAGGATTTCACAAGGCTTATAGTGGTACATTAATGTTAGCTATTATTGTTACTATTATTTCCAGGAGGAAATATAAGCACTACCCGGCCACACCTGCCTTTCCAGATTCACTGGGCATCACTCCTCCGTCCAAGCCGGCCTCTTCTCTGTTCCTCACGCACAAGATCCATCTCCCACCTCCCAGACTTTGCACTGGCTGCCCCCATGAATGTTGTCCCTCCTCATCGCCACCTCTTGGATGGAGAGCAACCCCATTCCTGTTGAGGCGGTCTACACCACACTACACTTCGTGGTGCCCGTGTCTCCCCTTAGAATGCAAGCCCCCTGGGGGGAAGGGCTGCTCACTGCCCTGGAATCCCCAGCACAGAAGCAAAGGCAGAATCAATGTTTGGGGGTGGGCCAGCGCCCAGGCGGCAGGGCCCGCCCCAGCCCCAGCCCCGTCCATGGATTGGCTCCAGAGCCGCGCCCCCGCCGGACCTGACCAATGGGCGCGTCCCTTCGCGCGGGGTGCGTGGCCCCACCCAGCCTCTTCCTAGGTAAGACTGGGAATCTCTCTCCAGGCTGAAGGCTCCAAAGCGAGCACTGATTCCTCCCGCTGCCCGCCCATCCCGGCCCCGGCCCGGGGCGCGGGACTGCCAGGCAGCGGCTGAGCACGGAGCTGAACCGAGGTGACAGGAAGCCCCTAAAGACCAAGGACACCAAGGAGGGGAAGAACTGGAAATGACGTCAGAAGGGAAGGCGTCGGCGCATGAGCCCGGAGGCTGTGTCCGCGGGCGCACCCTACTGCTCGGGTGGCCCGGGGGCTCGTCCGCGCTCCCGCCCCAGCGGCCTCTAGGGGCCCCTCCTGCAACCCTCACGTGCCCAGGCCTCCTTCCCTCCCCCTCCCCCAAGACGGCCTCGGGGGCAGCCCCGCGCTCACAGTGGAGCACGAGGGCCCTGCGGAGACCCAAGGCTGGAGGCGGACGGAGAATAAGCCAGCCCGGAAGCAGGAGGGGGACCCGCCTGGGGCCCCAAGCAGCGAGCGGGGTCTGAAGAGGCCCCAAGGGCCAGGCCCCGCCCCCCAGTAGAGCTGACCCCTGGGTGACCCCGAGTCCTGTGGGGGCAGGGCGCCTCCCGCCCCTAGCCCCGCCCCGGGGGCCCCAGATTAGCGTGCGGCCTGCCCCTCTCGCGTTTCCAGCGGGTGCTTCCCTCCGCCATCGCCCCAGATGAGCAGCCCGAGCAGCAGGAGAGGAGGCTAGGGCCTCAGGAAAGCCCTGGGGGCGGGCAGAGCTCGAGGCGGGAGGACCCCTCCCCCATGCCCTTCACCCCGTCCTCCGTCGTGCGGGTGTAGGAGCGCCCTGGGCGTTTGGGCCGCAGTGGCACACAGAAGGGGTGAGGAAGCGCGGAGCCGGGCAGGGTAGGGAGCAAAATGCGACCCGCACCCGGTGATGGGGACGCCAAGGAACTCTGCAGGAGGGGACGAAAGGCCAAGTGGTGGAGAGCAGACCTTTGTGTTAGGGTGCGCAGTTAAGAAAGCCGCACAGCTAACAATGGCACGGACCATCACGTCTCCACAACAGTTATCCAGAGGACCCCTCCCACATGTGATTGTCATGCTGTCACCAACACTCCTATTTTCTCAAACCTAGCCCACGCCCACAGAACGAGAGCTCTCAACTCATACTTTTGTGCTGCCAGTTTGGGTGAAAGCTCGAATTCCTTTCCTGGGAGTTTCGCTCTCAGACTGCCCCCTTCCCCCACTTCCCAAATGTCTCCACTTTCATTCCCAAGTTTTCGCTGGCTTGCACCTCACAGTTTTTGAGGAGGACCCACACTTGCTCTAACATCTAAATTTTTGTACTTCTTCCCCAATTTTCAGCCAAACTTAACACTAACAGACAATAGTAAATCAATATAATACTGCTGTTTTGGTTTTTTTTTAGTCCCTGGGACATTGCATTGTGATAGGGACCAGCTGATAATTCCAAATATTGAGAGATGGTGTAGCCTAGGGGAAGACTGCAGGCTTTGATTACCAAAGCCCAGGGCAGGGTCCCTACTCTGCTCCTTAATCCCTTATTGACCTTAGGCTAGGTACTCAATTTCTCTGGTTCTCAGTTTCCTCCCCTATAAAATGGAGAGTTTGAACTAGGTGACATCTAACCCTAACCCTTTCATTTCTAAAATCCATGGCCTACTGATTAGTTCAAAGACATGTCTGATCTGAGTGACTACAGAAGTTAATTAACCTCACTTGTCTCTTCTGTAAACTGGGGGTGGCAATACCTGAGGTAACTACCACCACAGGTTGGTGATGAGGCTCAAATGTGACCCTCTGTGCCAAGTGCAGGCTACTTTTCTTCCTGGAAGAATAGGTGAAGTAGTTTGAGAAATACCTCTTCAAATGCAATGATTTCCGATCCCCAGAAGTAGGATGGTAGAGGAAGACAAAGTATAAAAAAGGCTTTGAGTGGCAGAGCTGCAACTTTTTACCTTTCTGAAGTGTTTGGAATGTCAAGAATGCTCCGTGCAGGGAGCAATGGAAAAAAAAAAAAAGAACATCTTCAGGCCCCTAAAAACAAATGCGATGCTCTGAGAAGGAAGCGTCTGTTTGTGCACCAATAAATGGGCCAGAGGAAGGGCAGAGTGGTGCAGACTGACTCCCTGTTCAGACGCACCAGAAGAGCTCTTTGTTACCTGGCCAATCACAGTACAGTCATGCGATATAGTCCTCTTGGGCATGTACCCAAGACTTACTGAAGAGTATCTCAAGATCTGTCAAAACAGGTGACCCCTGTCCACTTCAGGTGCCACAAGTAATACTGCCAGAAGGAACCCAGAGAAGATTCGCTGAGAGAAATTCCCAAGACTTGGCAAAAAACAAAGATCACAGATAGCATTTTCCTCACCGTTATCCATCAAAGGCAAGGGATGCAGAGGAGAAGAACTGACCCGGGGAGTGAACAGCTGGCTAAAAAGGTGCTGTCCCAGAACAGAATTCAGATTTCTGGACCCTGGCTAAGAACAAAAGAATGACAGGTCCCTGGTCAGAGACATGATACACCTAAGGATGATGGGACAACATGTACTTTTTCTTCAGGACTCCTTCGGTTGGTCCCTTTGTCTTCTTCCAGATGTAGCCGGGGTTATTTTCCTTCCCCTCTTGCTCCTCAAACGGTTAATGGTAGAAGAAGCATGTAATGAGGCACATCTACTCCCCTAAATGACCCAACAGGGGAGTTCATGGATCACTTCCTTTTGCCTTTCTATTTCCTTTTCTGAGCATAAAATAGAAACTAGAGCTCCTAAGAATGAACTCGCCCTGCCTAAGATATGATGGGTTCCTGAAGCAGCAGATGGAAGAGGAAAGACATCATCAGAGAAGAGACATCCTGACGGTGGATCATTCCATCATTGGGGGCAACCCATGGGTAATAAATACTAAGTCCGAGAGAAGGCCAGCACACTAGGGCTTCTACTGAAATGAAGGGACTTCCATGTGTTCTCTTGGACCAATCTAAGAGGCAGCTGAGCCGGCCTGAGAATCAGGCATCATAGATGCTGGAGTTTTCTGTTCTTTCAGTTCAACACAGCGACTTGGAATTCCCACCCTAGCTGAGTCTTCCTGAACTATACACCTGGGAGTCTACCCCTGTATCCAGTTACAAGATGGCCGTGATTTGTAGCCCTCCTGCCAGGGAGAGGAAAGTAGGCTGGCCCCTTATAGCCTGGCCCAGCACTTGTGTAGCAAATCGGGGCACTGCTGGGCCAGCCAGGAACAGAAGTAGGGAAAGCAAGGTACATCCTGGGTCAACTAGCCCCTCCAACAATGAAAGCACAAAAGTTTACAGCCTGGAACTCACACCCCAGTCTAAACCCCAGCCTCTCTTAGCAGCCTCCCTCACTGTCACCAGCCAAGCAGGTGCTGAACAAGAATCAGCATGGCAGAGTTACAGTCCAGAATGATTTCTCTCACCTCTTCAGAAACTGTAATATAGGAGACCTCAACAGGGTCATACTTCTTCTAGACAGAAAAGTCAAGGCTCATAGACTTTTGGCTTGATTCTCAGGCGTTAAAGAGTACTCTACATTAGTGGAGAGTACTTGAAAGAACACCAGCTTTGGGGCCACGAGACTTGGGTTCGGATCATAGCTGAGTCACTGACTCACAGTGTGGTCTTCAGCAAGTCCCTTCATTTCTCTGGTTCTTATTTTTCCTTATCTGAAACACAGGAATCTTAATGCCTGCTTCCAGGTACTTAGCCTCTCTCAGCCTCAATTTCCTCATCTGTAAAATGAGAATAAGAATGGCGCCTACTTCAGAGGGTTGTAGTGAGGATCAAATAAGATGACCCATGTAAAGAAAGGACTTGAAAAACCGTGCAGTGCTATATAAATGCTAGTTGTTATTACCACTGTTGTTGCTCCTGGCCTCTGCTGCTCTTGGGAACACTGAACGAGATAACGGCTATACGATTGCTGTGTAAACTAAGCACAGATTTTCAAAATGTCAGCTTCACAATTTCCCCAGTTTGAGAATCAGGCTCTTGTTCCCTAGAGGGTGGCGTCCCTAGTATTCCGCTTCTTGGCAAAAGAAGATGATTTTGCCTACACCCTGTCAGCCCTCCCTGAGGTGGCTACAAGCTGCTCAGACTATTCAGGTTTGAAGGGCATGGGATTGTTTTTTCACCAGCTCTCCAAAGTCTTTTACCTGCCGAGGGAATTTGAGGCTTTTGTGTTTCCATACCTCATCCTGGGCTCCTGTGAATCCTTTGCATCATATACATTTTCTAAGAGCAGTAGTGCTGAAATAAAAGCTGTCCCATACCTGGAAGAAAAACAAAAAAAAATAAAGCTGTATTTGGTTGATGTACTCCAGATCTTGTTAAGAGGATTTTAAACTAAAAGGGGTAGGAAATAAAGAAGACAATCTAAGTAAATCCAAGCTAGATGTAACAGTAACACTCAGCAGTTCATTCACAATTCTAAGAAAGGAGGCAGTAGCAAAACCTTTGCAAAATATATGTACCCAGATAACCAAAGTTTATCCAACAAGAAAGATGAACTCGAAATCCTAGTACAATAAGGCAGAGTTGACTTCAAAGAGGCCACTAAGACTTGATGAAATGAAATGTGATCTTTGGAAAAGTGTAAGCTTTAGTTAAAAGAAGCAGGCTCAGTAAAAGGGGAGTAGGTAGGGGAGGGGGCATGTATAAGAATGTACATACTCAAGTGAAGTAATTCAGGAGCAAGAGACAGAAGCAAGGTGGGGAGAATCTGGATGAAGAACACAGAACATTGGAAATGGAAGAGATCTTGGTAGCCATCTAGTCCAAGCCATACACAAAAGGAACCCCACACTTCAGCATGTCTAACAAATGGTCTTGTCTCTGCTTCAAGCCCTTCAAAGAGGGGAAGCTCTCTGCCTCCTACAGTAATCCACTGGAGTATCAGTAAGCTCTTATAATAAATTAGGAATGTTTTTCCTACATCCATTACTCATCTGCAACTGAGGCCAAATAGCTAGTTTGCCTAATCCCTCTTCTGCATAACACAGTAATCCTGTCCCCTGGGAGTCTTCAGAAGAGTGCAGAGGCACAGGAGGCTATCACATGTGCTTCTTCCCTCTTCCCAAGCACACCAGGCACATAAAACAAGTTTATGGAATAACATTGATGAGCTGGAGAATATTTAGAAGAAAGCTGCTAGAGTGGCGGAGGGCCTTAAATTCATGCCATATGGTGACTGGTGGTTGAACTGGGATGTTTAGACAGCTAGAGGGCACAGTGGATGGAGCGCTGGGGCTGAAGTCAGGAAGACTGAGTCCTGCCTCAGAGATTTGCTAGCCATTCAACCCTCAGCAAGTCACTCAATCTGCCTGCCTGTTTCTTCATCAGTGAAATACGGATAATAGCACCCACTTCACAGGGTTGTTGAGAGGATCACATGAGATAATCAATGGAAAGAGCTTTGCAGATCTTAAAGCACTGTATAAAATTCGAGCTACTAAGAATCAATGCCTAGGGGATGCAAGGGAAGGAAGAGATGTTAGTGATCAAGCACCCAAAGGGCTGAGCCATGGCAAAGAAATTACACATTCTATTTGTCCCCAAAGGAAAGAATTAAAGCAAAAGACTGAGAATGAGAAGAGCAAATTTTGGCTTGCTGTAAGAAAAAAAATTCCTCGAAATTAGAACTATGTAAAAATGGAATGGGCTCCCTCAGAAGGGAGTAGAGTTACTCTGCCACTGGATTTATTCAAGCAAAGGTGGGATGACCACCTGTCAGGTATACTGTAGCAGGTATTTTTCATGAATTGGCCTAAATGGTTGCTGCTATCCCTTTCGTATCTGACATTCAGTGACGATGGTCCAGGATTGCTGGTGATAAATTGATAAAGCTTTTAAATGCCCATATGCCTATGTGCAAATAGAAATATTTGGCAGTCTCTGCCTTAACAGTGTTTACAATCTACTCAGATGATACACAGATAAGCAGATCTAGGATGTGAGTTGTGCTGAGGAGGAGGGCACCAGCAACCAAGGGAAAATCTGGAAAACCAGCAACCAGGAAGACTTCTGGAAAGGAGGCACAAGCTAAGCCTTGGACACAGTCAGAGGTGAAGAAGGTGGATATGCTGGGTGCAAGGGAGAAATGAGTGAGAGGACGTGACAGGAAAGGACTGTCACAGATGGGCAGTGGCAAGTTGGCTAGTGTGGCTAGAAATGTGTGTATGCGAAATGAACTTTAGAAGGATGTGGAGAAATAGGAAGTATGACACAGGAGAGGTCTCCTCCTCCCTGCAGTGCTTCATGCAGAAGCTGGATACCCACTTGCTGAGTATGTTAGACCAGAGATTCCTTTGAATGTTACTTGGATTAGGTGACCTTTGAGGGCCCTTCCAATTCTATGACTGTAACTTGAAGACAAATGTCCCAATTTTTCTTTAAAATAAAAGTCTGCAATTATAGACCTGAGAACTTCACTTGAATTCCTGTTGACTGGACCATTGGTTTAGAGCTGGAGCTCACCTACTTCAACCTTCTCATGTTACACATGATGAAACTGAGACCTACTGAAATTATGACTTGTCAAAGGTCGCACAGTTAGATGGCAAAGTCATAATTAAAACTCAGGTCCTGTGACTCTGGGGTTAGCACCCTTTCTACTTCACCATAATGTCCCTCCAAGCAAAATTCTGAAAAGTTTTGTTTAAAGAGTGGTTAGTAAACACCTAGAAAAGGAAGCAATGAATATGAATAACTATCCTGGCTTCAAGAACGGGTCCTGCCAGGTTAACCTCACATTCTTTTTGGAAAAAGTAGCTTGACGGGTAGACTAAGGGGAAATTGCAGATATAATTCACTTAGACTTTAGTAAAGTATGCTGTCATGGTGGGAAAGATGGAGAGATGTGGGGGGCTAGGTGGTCACACAAGTAGGTGGGTTTGGAACAGACTGGTCAGGTCAAGAATAGTCATCAATTTCAATGTTGGCTTCAGAAGTTTCTGGAGGAGCAGCTCAGACATCTGGGCCCAATCTTGTGCTGTTTAACTATTTCAGCAATGCCTTAGATAAAGTACAGACACATGATCGTCAAATGTGCAAATGACAAACTGGAAGGGACAGCCAACACACTGGACTGCTAAGTCTTGACTCCAAAATATTTTTTTTTAGGCAACTGAAGTTAAGTGACTTGCCCAGGGTCACACAGCTAGTGTCTCCAAAAGATCTTGACAGACTTCTTGTGCCAGATCTATGCAGTTAATAGGGACGAGTGTCAGTTCTTATACTTGGTTTCACAAGCACAAGATGGCGGGAGGGGCACGGTCTTGCCAGGCTGCGAGCTCCATGTGAGTCAACAGTGCAGCGACAGATCTGGCAGCTGAAAGCGCTGAAGTTTCTTAGATTGAGAGGAACAGAGCTCTGAAGTGTGGGGACGCAGTAGTCCTGTTGTATTCGGTCCCGATCAGACCGATCCGGAGCGTTCAGTTCTGAGTGCCACACCTTGGAAGGGACCATCAGTAAGCTCAGGAGCCTCAGAGAAGAGCTGCGGGACAATCGCGCGGTGACTGGCCGAAAGAACCGCGAACGCTCAGGACAGAAGGACTGGGTGTTAGGGAGTGGAGAGACATGATAGGGTGGCTTCAAGTACTCAGAGGGCCGCCATGCAGACAAGGAAATAAGCTGGATCTATTTGGTGCCAAGAACACTGGGAGAACACCTCAAAGTGGCAGATGCAATCTGACGAAGGAAAGACTTTCTAATAACTGGTAGAAGAAGTGGGTTACAGCCTGTGTCAAGGCTGCCGTGGTAGGACGCTAATTCAGGTCTAAATTGGAGTAGATGGCCTTGAAGTCCCTTCCAATTCTGAGATTTCAGAATTCCAGGAATTTTATCTAGTCATTCAAACACAATCACATCATCTAAGTTCCTAGCACTGTTGACGGGAGAAGCACCAGGCTTTAATACTTAATCTCTGCCTTCAGAGAGCTTAGAGTCCAGCAGGTAGAGATGACATATAGAGTCAACTAGAATACAAAATAATGTATATGTTAGAAAATATAGTATTAAAAATAAGGCACCAATAAAACTAACATTAGACATTCATTCATTGGGAGATGTGATGAAAGAAGTATTCTATTTTTTTTTAATTATGCTGACAGCATTTAGCACAATGCCTGGCACAAAATAAATGCTTATTGACTTGACTAGTTAAACAATAAACAAAAAGTCTCCAAATTATACAGAAGTGCATAGGTGCCCTGGGTGTTCAGGGAAGAGTTAAGATATTGGTGGCATTTAAGTTTGGTTTTAAAGGTTTCATACAAAACCAGCAGGAGTTAGGAATAAGGGTTTTCCAGGCACAGAGCATATCCTAAGGAAAAACAGGAAGGCACAGGGTATATTAATGAGACAGCAAATAGTTCAGGTTGGTTGGACCATAGATTATCCAGAAAGCAGTATCATGAAGACTGGGGAGACAGAAACTGGCATTTGATTCAGGAGGAACTTAAATATTAGTCAAAGGAGTTTGAAAATTACTCTGCAGATATTTCGGAAAGACTGAAAGATTTTTGAGCAAATTAGTCACAATTAGATCTTAAAGAAGATTAGCCTGTTTAATGTTGTGGGGGGATTAAAGGGATAAGGGACAGGAAGGAAGACAAGGAATGTCACTACTTCAGTGGTCTAGAGAGATGATCGTGGAGGTTTATATTAGGATGGCTATCAGTCTAAAAGAGGAAGGTAATGAAGTAAGATATATTCAATAGACCTTAGTAACTGGAAATAGGTGAAAGATAGAGAAGGGTTAAAGGAAAAAAAAACACCAAGGTTTAGAACATGAGAAACAGGGTGTGAAACAGGGTGCTAACATAGCCATAAATAGGGAAATCAGGTTACAATAGGCAGGTGAAAATGGTAGCATAAGGCCAGGACCACTTGGAAGTGACACATAAATAAGTTAGATTCCCAGGAACACAAAGAGACAAGAGAGTAAGTCCAAGGGCAAGAAGACAGAGAAATTGTCAATGGAGTCTTATGACAGTCAACACTTGGTGACTCTGAAGACAAGGGAAAAAGGAATATCCAGAAAGGGTCTGAAGGGTTCGATTGTGTCCATAAATTCAGGAGATAAAAGCAGTAGTAGCCTGATTAGGAAGCGGCTGTAGACTTTTTAGAGAGCACGACCGGTCAAGAGGATGACCAGCTAATGGAATGCACTGGCACAGAGGTTAGTAAGGAACGTGTAGCAGTAATAATTGCGCTTTTTCAAGAAGTTTAGCAGACATCACTTAGTTTTACCTTCTGTGGAGTTTTGTGTCATCTTTCTGATGGTTCCACCTATTGGTTTTAAGTTTTACTTATAACTTCACTAATGTGAAAATATGTTTAATAGGAATGTAAATGTAAAGCCTATATCAGATGGTGCGCCATCTTGGGGAGGGTGCATGGAGGAAGGGGGAGAAAAATTTAACTCAAAAGAATATGGAAGTGATTGTTGATAAATCAAAATAAATTAATAAAATATATAAAAAAAGAAATTTAGCAGAAAAGGAGAGAAAAGAGATGAAGTGGCAACTGGATATGTCAAAGACTGAAAAGATGGCTTATTATGACTGGGGACACATGCACATGGTTTAAGCAGCCACGAAGGCTCTAGTAAAGAAGGATGGAATATTACTAATAACTGTTGACACTTACATAACATATTAGTTTGCAAATTACTTTTACATATATTATACCTTAATTTATCCTCATAGGCACCCCATGCATTTGTATGTATTATTAACCCCATTTTACCATTGAGGAAACTTTTTCACAGTCACATAACCTAGATGTCCAGGAGTGGAATTTGGACTCAGGTTTTCCAGACTCTAGGTCCTGGATGTAGGAAATCTCTCTGGATTTAAGAAATATGAGTAAGATTCTTGAACAGATGGGAAAGTTAGCATCAAGGATTCGGAAAGAGGAATTAGCTTTAGGGAAGAATATGGATACCTTTCCTTTGTGACTAAGCAGTCAGCCAGTCAATCAATAAACATTTATTAAGTGCCTGCTATGTGCCAGGCAGTGTACTAGGAATACAAAAAGACTAGAAAAGAAAGCAGTGGTGACACAGAAATTTTCTAAAGAATTAAATTGAGGGCGTGAGCTCCTACCAGAAATATACCCACTGAGAAAATGAGGAAGTTCAGCTGTAGTAAGTCTTGGGATTGGATGAGAGAGTTGTCTGGATACTAGAGAAGAAAAGGTGTGGAATAGCTGTTGGAATTTAAAGAAGAATTTGCTTCACCTACAGTTTCTTTTTAATATGCATTCTAGATTATTCAGCAAGGTATATGACTAAATTCCTTTTGATTTTCATTATATTCATAAAGTTTTACTCCAATATGAAGTTTCTGATGGCAAGTGAGATGTGATCTTTGGCGAAAGGCCTTTCCACATTCGTGACACTCATATGGCTTCTCTCCTGTATGAATTCGTTGATGTTTGTTAAGCTGGGTCTTCTGACAAAAGGCTTTCCCACACTGTTTACATTCATAAGGTTTGTCTCCAGTATGAATTCTCCGATGTCGAGTAAGTTGTGTTCTCCGACTAAAGGCCCTCCTACATTTGTTACATTCATAAGGTTTCTCTCCAGTATGAATTCGCTGATGTCGAGTCAGCTTTGAACTCTCCCGAAAGGCCTTTCCACATTCATTACATTCATATGATTTCTCTCCAGTATGAATTCTGTGATGGTAAGTAAGAGAAGAGCTGTGTTTGAAGGTTTTCCCACATTCATTACATTCATAAGGTTTCTCTCCAGTATGAATTCTGTGATGTGAAATAAGAGATGAACTGTGTCTAAAGGTCTTCCCACATTCATTACACCCATAAGGCTTCTCTCCAGTATGTATTCTCTGATGTCCTAGAAGTTGTATGCTTTGGCCAAAGGCCTTCCCACATTCATTACATTCATAAGGTTTTTCTCCAGTATGAATCCTGAGGTGGAAAGTAAGGGACGAGCAGTGTCTGAAGGTCTTCCCACATTCATTACATTCATAGGGTTTCTCTCCAGTATGAATCCTGTGATGTGAAGTAAGAGATGAACTGTATCTAAAGGTCTTCCCACATTCATTACACTCATATGCTTTCTCCTCAGGAGGCATTACCTGATGTTCAGTAAGTTGTGGGCTCTGGAAGGTCTCCCCACAATCATCAAATGTATTTGGTTTCTCTCCAGAAGGAATTCTGTGATATGAAGCAATGCACGAGTTAGTGCCTATGGCTTTCTCACATTCATCATATTCACTGAGTTTTTTTCCAGTACAATTTCTTTGATAGTCAGTAAAGCTGGCATTATGGCTGAAGGAATTGTCATATTCATTATGCTTGGCAAGTATCTTCTTTGAGCTAAATTCGCTGCTTCTACTTGGGTCTGAATTGAGTGAGTAGCTCTTTTTGTCTGCATCACACTTGCAGAGCCTTCTTCCTCTTTGTTCTCCCTGGTAGAGAGAATGGACTGGCTCCAGACTGAACCTTCTGCCACATTCATCACATTCACTGTCCTTCACGGTTTTCAGAGAGTTCCTCTGGATGGTTTTTACTTGCTGAAAATGCTTCTCTTCCTTGCTCTGCTTCCTCTTTAACCTGGCATTACATTCATAAGCATCTCCCAACTTGGAGTGACAGGTGCCTTCTCTTGGGAGTATTTCCAGGAATGACAGATCCATAGAAATGCCCAGCTTTGGCCTAGTCTTCCAGTCTGAAAGAAGTAGAAAACATGTCAATATTCTCTGTACCCCTATGCTTACATCTTGTTATCTGCATCTTCTCCAAAAACAATCATGATAAAACTCTAAAAGGTAGACCAAATAGAACTATTACCATATGTTTGTATGGTTATTCATAATTTTCAAAAGGCTTTCTTAATGGTCTCAAAATAGTCTTGTAAGAACGTTGGTCAGTTACCTCATTTTCTAAATGAAATGATTTATCTAAATGATTCAGTGATTTATTGATTATCCCAATTTCTCTCAACTAGTTAAGAGCACAGGGAGGAGTCAAACTTGGGTCTCATTTCCATACTGCCTACCCACCACGAGGTAAATTTATTATATGTACAGAAGTACTTCATCAGATGGGTTAACCTCATTAGGGATAATATAATCAGGATTTCTCCACTGAACAAGTGGTTGGACTGGATACGTTCTGAGGAGTCATTTTTTGTGGTCACTATGAAAGGAAGAACAAGGGATATCAGTAATGACACTGTGGCTTTTCCATACAACCTGGACCTCTATCTGATCGCGGGGTTTTGAGTGACTCTTTCCCCCGTTCTCTAGGAGATACCAGTGTTATGTGCCTATGCACCAGGGAAACAGCCCATGAGGAACTAGGTGGCCTAGTGGATAGAGCACTAGAACTAGGAAAAGAGAAGCTCTTAGTATGAATCTCAACTCATATACTTTATTGTGTGACACTGGGCAGGTCACTAAACCTCTCTGGGCCTCAGTTTCCTCATCTGAAAATTGAGGGGACAGGGACTGAACACCTCTAAAGTTCCTTCCAGTTCTAAGTCTAAGAGCCTGTGACATGCATGCATACAAATTCAGACAGCTACCAGATGTAAAGGGGCACCTATTTAGGATTAAATGATTTCTCAGTGCCTTAGTGAAAAAAATAAGCACTGGAATGAAGAACAAATTCTTGCTGTAGCGTGAAAAGCCACCATTTGAATGGAGAAAGGAAACCAGGTGCAACCTCAACAAGTATATGACTTTGACAGCTCTCAGACAGAGCCGTGCAGACCCATGTGAAAGTAGAAAAGAGAAAGTTGAACACAAAGGAGAACCAGTATAAGATGGAGAGAAGACAGAAACTGTCATGAATGGAACAGCTAGAGTCACAGTTCCCACAATGTGCACTGCAGAGCATGAGATGTTTCAAACTTTCAGGGGAACAGTGTCTGCTAAGTGCTAGAGCTCATCAAATATTAATTCCATTTGCAACACCCTTTCTTTTTGAAGCTGGTTTTCAGTGATTGCTGTGATCAAAAGAAAGTACTGAATGAAAATCAGTGTGGAACAGGAAATGAGGGTGGTAGAGTTCAATCTGATTCCAAAATCTGAGAAGTTGTGCAGTGCCCAACAGGTGCACATAGCTCATTAGTAAGTAATTTAGGTATTTAAGAATGAAATAAAAATACTTTTTCTTTCAATTTGTGCCTCTTTTCTTTTTCAAACAGCTATTAAGTTGTTAGGACATTAATACTTACTAAGTTCTCTGGGGCCTTACTACTTGATAAATAGTATTTCTTTTGGTTTTGATCTAGGGGTGCTGGGGAAAAAATTACTGATGCTAAGGCTACCATGAACTAAGAAAGTTTGGGAAGCTTTGGGATAAAGGAAAGGGCCAAGCATATAGGGAAACAGCAGATTCTGAATAAGGATTAGTAAACAGTCTGGAATCAGAATCTGGACCCTCATTATCTACATTTGATATATGGCAATAGGATCTAATTAATTAGAGGCTTTTTGTCTGTTTCCCCACCCCCACCCCATTCCAATTCACCCATGAAAGCTGCAGGACAAAGCTTCCTTTCTCATTGTCCTCCTAGTCATCTCACAATCCAGCTTCCAGGCCTTATCTACACAACAAATTCAAAAATGTTCAAAGGCTTTGGTGCTAGGACCCTACCTACCTATGCACCCTGATATTCCACCACTATGGGCAACCAAGTGACACAGTGGATAGCACTGGGCTTGGAATCAGGAAAGCTCATCTTCATGAGTTCAAATCTTAGCTTCAGCCATTTACTAGTTGTGTGACTTTAGGCAAGTTTCCTCAGCTGTGAAAGCTGGAAGAGGAAATGGCAAACCACTCCAGTCTCTCTGCCAAGAAAACCCCCCCAAAAAGGGGTCGCAAAGAGTCGGACGCAACTGAAACAACTAAACAACATTTCCCTCCAGAGTACCCTCAGTTTCCATCCAACAGGTGGTCTTAGGGCCTCACCCTCCGCAAACCCATTTTCAACTCCATGACCTTTATCATAGTTCCTCCTTCACCTGGATGTCACCCTTTTTTCCTTCTATCCATTCAGATACCCTAAGAGAACTGCAAACATATAGTGGAAGCAGAATAGAACATCAACTCTTACCATCATTAGTAAAAGCAGGGTTAGACCAGGAATTAGGGGTAGAGGCAATTAGATATTGCTTCTAAGCCCAATTCTGTATCCCTGCTTCTACCTCTGCAATGTCCCTCTCTGATCATGATATGCTGTCTTTTCATCTTTCTAACTCACTTCACCCTAAACCTATTCAAGTCCATACCATATCAATTGGCCACCTACCGAATTATCTTTTCTCAGAACATCACCACTGCTCTGACTTCACTTTCCCCCCTTTAGTTTTCACAAGGTTAACTATATAGTGTCCTTCATCCCTGAATCTCTTAGACCTCTATGGCCAAAAGAGACCCCTCTGATCAAACAGCCTGAGCCTCAGAACAGCAAAGAGATAAAAGGTCCTGTGCCTCTGGAGATTTCTAATGCCTGGAGACTGAGTGCTGGGCTCCCATAGAATATCATCTGGATGAGCTTCACCAGTCACCACCTGGAGCTGCCAAAGGGGTTTTCCTAAAAGGCGTGCCCAATCATGTCACTTCAGCACCAGCGAACAGTCTCCAAGGGCACTCTGTTGTCTTGTGTGGCACCTACACAACCTGGGCCCTACCTTCATCTTTTAAAGAATACATTTCAATTCATGTCCTTTCTTTTTGCACCACCTGTATTTCCCCTTGTATCCCTTTTCTCTTACTGGAGAGCCATCCCATGCAACAAAGAATTTGTTTAAAGAAAAAGTAAAAAGAGGAAAAAAATATTAGTACAGTTGATCCATACATCAGAAAATTCTGAAAATGTATGGCACAGACCTCCCACCTACACAGAAGAATGAGTGGAGGCAGGGTCCTCTTATCTTTCTTCCTTGGATCAGAGGTTCTTGGTAACCATTTTGCCACATTCATTTTCAATTTTTGTTATTACTTGTTTTTTCCAATTTACATTTTTTTGTACTAACTGCAGATATTCTGTTCTTGGCTTTGCTTTGTATCAGTTCATATATGTCACTCCATATTTTACTGTATTTATCATATTTCTTTCAGCACAGTAATATTCCCATATGTTGATACACTACAACTTGTTTTGCTATTCCCTAATCGTGGGCATCTCCTTTGTTTCCAGTTCTTTAATACCAGGGTAAAAAAAAAAAGTACTGCTCTAAAGATTCTAGTGAATATTGGGACTCTCTTATCAATGGCCTCCTTGGAGCATAAGGCCAGTAATGGAAACTACTTGAGGGTAAAGGTTATGGACTTTTTAGTTATTTTGTCTGAATAATTACAAATTTACTTTCCAAAAATGGTTGTTCACAGCTCCACCAACAATGTAAGAGTGTGCCTATCTTCCCACAATTCCTCTAAAACTGACTTCCAATCTTTTGTCTTCTTTGTCAATTTGTTTGATGTGAGATAAAAACCAGAATTTTCATACTTTTATTAATGTTATATTAATTACATATATATTATGTTATTATATTGGTTACATAAATAATATTAATCATATGTTTATTAACATTTCTCATATTTTAAGTGATTTTGGAGCATTTTTCATGTTAATAGTTTGTAATTCTTTTCACTGCAATTTATTCATATTCTTTGTCTACTTATCTATCAGGGAATGGCTCTTGGTCTTTTATATACATTTAATGCTATATAGGTAAGTAGATATATAGATATGTCTGTTAATTGTTTATGTATCTTAGATATCAAACTCTTATCAGAGAATTTTGATACAAAGACCATTGTTCTCATTTGACCATTTCTCTTGTCATAGGTGCACTAATTTTGTCTATGCAGAAGCTTTTCAATTTAATGTCATCAAAATGATCTACTTTAGTTTTTATAACCACCTCTATGCCTTATTTGCTTAAGAATACCTCTCCAACCCATACCTGCGAGAGGTATATGATCTGCTTGTCTTCTAACATTTTATGATATGATCTTTAATATTCAGGTTTGTGTCCATTTGAAACTTACTGTAAAATACGGTATAAGATGTTGGTCTGAGCATAATTTCTACCAGACTGCTTTTCAGTTTACCCAGTAATTCTTATCAAATATAGAGCTCTTTCCTAAATAAGCTGTGGTTTGGAGTTTATTGAACATTGGGTTAATGAGTCCCCAACCCTAACCATAAATCCCTGCCTCCGACTCTAGTATGTTCCATTGATTTACTTCTTTATTTTTTAGCTGATACCAAAAGGCTTAGATAACCACTACTTTATGATATAGTTTGAAGTCTGAAAGTGCTCATTCTCCTTCATTCCTACCTTTATTCATTTACTTTCCTTGAAAATCTAGATGTCTGAAAGACCAGTGTAGCTGTCACTGGCCATGTTCATCTGCCGGGTTTCACTCACTCACCTGCACACCTGCATTTTGGGCCTTCTCTCTCTGGCATCCAAGGTGCTTCTCCTTGCTCCAGCTGGAAGATCACATCTGGTTTGGAAATGGCAAGCCCTACTCATTGGACACAACAAAGCACTGGAGTCAGAAAGTCTACTTGGGATGCCGGACTAACCCCACTTTACTCTAGGAACAGTGGGAATAGTAGTAGCACTTAGAGGACTCTACAAAGAGCTCTGGGGGCCAGTCTCTCCTGTGTTCCTAAGGGGGAAGCAGAAAGAGTTTGTAGAGTGGATCTGAACTTGGAAAGAAAATTATGTCACTGGACCCAATCCCTGGCCAGAAGATGGAGCCTTCTCCTGTCTTTGGGTATGTGCCCTAGGCCTTTAGGAGAGAGTGGGAAAGGTACAACTTCAAAGGCAACATAAACAAGCTGCCAGCTTCCAAGTGTCCAAAGAAAGCACTGTTTTACCTGAGGAAGGCTGCACAAGTACCTGGCCTCATTCCCACAAATGGTTAGGAAAGTAGATATGCCAAACAAGTGACTAAGGGAGGAAGCAAAGCCCCTCCAGGGGCCATGTTCTGGGTCCCAGAGGAGCCTCCTTACCGAGGCAGACCAGGTTCCTGTAGTTCTCCAGCATCACCTCCCGGTACAGCTCCTTCTGAGAAGGTTCCAGGTGCCCCCACTCCTCCCAGGAAAAGTCCACAGCCACATCCTTGAATGTTACCAATTCCTGAAACAGCACATACATTTGGGCTTCCCCAGGGACCATCCCTCCTATTCACCTCGAAGGAGAGGGGGTGAACTTGACAGAAACTGTCAGGAGCACACCTCACACCTCCTGTGTGCCTCAATTTATATTCATTTCTCAATCCTGGAACTGAACAACAATCCTCAACATGCTCCAAAGGCTCTATGAGCTAAACAAGGTGGGCATTCCTTTTAGCCATGCAGATCACCACCCATCCCTGGCTGCCCACCCTAGGCGACTCTTACCCATATCCAACTGTAACTAGCCAATCAACAATGAATTAGCAAACATTTATTAAGCACCTACTATGTGCCAAGCACTGTGCTATGTCCTGGGAATACAAAAAAAGGCCCAAAAGACAGTCCCTGCCCTCTGAGGGAGAGGCTTACAATCTAACAGCTGAGAAAACATACACACACACACATACACATACACATATATACACAAAGTAAGCTACATACAAGATAAATGGGAAATAACAGATAAAAGTCATAGGAATTAAAAGGGGTCACACAAGGCTTCCTGTAAAAGGTGGGATTTTAGGTGAGACTTAAAGAAAGCCAGGGAGGTCAGTAGTCAGAGTGGAGGAGAGAAAAGTTCCAGGCATGGGGGACAGCCAGAGATGGAGCATCTCAGTAGCCAGGAGGCCAGTGTTACTGGACTGAAGAGTCTGTTTGGGGAATGAAGTGTAACAAGACTGGGAAGGTAAGAGGGGGCTAAGTTATGAAGCTATGCCAGACAGAGCATTCTGGATTTGCTCCTGGAGGCAACAGGAAGTCACTGAGTAGGGAGGTGACATAATCACATCTGCATTTTAGGAAAATCACTTTGGTGGCAGAATGGAGAATGGACTGGAGAAAGCAGTGAGGCAGAAAGACCCAGCAGTACACTAGTGTAATAGTCCAGGCATGAGATGATGGGGGACTACACCAGGGAGGTGATTGTGTCATAGGAAAGAAGGGGACATACAAGAAAGCTGTTATGAAGACTGTCAGAGAAGAGGGCCTAGGACAAAATCCTAAGGGACATCTATGGTTAATGTATGATCTGGATGAGGATACAGCAAAGGAGGCAGAGAAGGAACAGACAGGTAGGAGGAAAACCAGAAGGCCTAGAGTGATCAGCAGCAGAATGAGCACTGAGAAAAGCCCACTGGATCTGGCAAGACTACTGGTCTCATTGGAGAGAGCAGTTTCAGTGGAATGATAAGGCGAGGTGGCACATTGTAAGGGGTCAAGAAGAGAGGGATGGCAGAGAATGTGGAGGCACCTATTATAGAGGGCCTTTTCCAAGGGTTTACCTACAAAGGGCAGAAGGGACATAGGATGTTAGGGATGGAAGGACAAATGAGTTTTTTTCAGGTGGGGGATACATGGGCATGTTTGCAGGCAGTAGGAAATGTGCCAGTAGAGAGGGAGAGATTAAGAGAGAGTGGGATGACAGAGGAGGTGAGCTGCTGCAGGAGCAGCCTGGCGATGGCATGGGGGTCCCCCGACAAACTGGAGACCTTCAGAGCCCCCTGAAAGGAGCCACGTAGGGCTGGAGCGCTTGGACAGCAGTTGTCCCTTAGACGTCCTCCATTTTCTAGGCAGGACAGCCTCTTGGTTTCCAGGGCTGGTGGCTCTACTGTGGCCACGCACCCTCGCTGGGTCCTGCAGGATGGCTTCCCTCCAGGACTGTTTGTTTATTATAAAGAGCCCACCCTGACGGGCCCAGCACCTCAGTCTGGCCAAATCGGAGAAGCCGAGCAAAGGCCTTTGGGAGCCACGATGGTCACGTGTGGCAACCCCAAGGCCCACGAGGGAAAAACCAAGACCTGCGGGAAGGCTTTCTGTCCCAGGCAGAATCGCAGGACCCATTCCTGGAGGAAGCTTCTCCTGCTGCCTGAGCTCACTGTGTGACCCCCGACACCCCACTTCTAGCAGTGCCTTGCCCCGCTTGGCCTCAGTTTCCCTAGATGCTCTTTGGCTGCATGGTCGTGGTCAATCTTTTTCCATCCCTGGCCCGTTTCCCAGACCATCATAGGCTGCATGATCCGACTGCCCTCCCCCGCCGGACACTGGCTGCCTCACCAGGGGGGCCCGGGCTGCCGGGTGCACGGGGCCCACCATCTCCTGCTGCTGCTCCAGGTCTGGCTTCGGGGCGGGCGGATCTGGGGAGACAAAGGGCAGGGCTCACACCCGCAGCCCCCCCGTCTCAGGACGGCATCGCTCTGGGAGGGGGCACTGGCACGGATGACCCTGGGGTCACCCCCACCCAAGCGGCTCAGGGAAGGCTCCTAGAGCGGGAGGATTTTGAGGGCAGAGGCGGCCCTGGGCTGCTCGGCCCGCCCCGGGCCTGCTCTGAGCCGTTGATTGGCTCCCAGGACGCGCCCCCACCCAGACCTGACCAATGGGGAGAGGCTTAGAGGACGGCGCATGCGCAGGTGTCTGCCCAGCCGGCACTCCAACTGCAGTGCCCCTGAAATCTGGCCGCATGCCGGCCGAGCCTGGCTCCGGCTGACCCTGCAGGCCTCCGCCTCGGCTGCGAATGAAGGCGGAAAGAAAGCCCCGAGTTCTCGGATAGCAGGGGCAGAGGCCGCTGAGGGCGGTGCATCGAAAGGGGGCAGGATAGGAAATAACATCGGCCGCATAGGACGAAGTGACTGAAGAAAGGATACGACGATGGGGGTGGGGGATGAAGGAACCTTCTGCGCATGCCCAAAAGCCCCCCCCAACCGAGCAGGAGTGGGGGCGCAGCCTGAAGGCGGAGGCCGCGTCCCCTCCCATTGGCTCTGTTCCAGACCAAAGAAACCCACTGGAGACAGATACTAAGGGCGTCCCTCCCCGCTCCGAAAGGTCGTGGGGGATTGCTCTTGTGTCCCTCTTCCATTTCTAGGACAAAGCCCTTCTTCTGTGCCCCTCCCCCACATCCAAGTGTTTCCGCTTTGCTGCAGCCCCTCCCCCGCCCAGCTTCAGACCCGGAGGGGGGGGGGCGCTGGCTCCCTTGTGGGTCCCCCTCCTGGTTCATGTCTCTTCCTCCACGCCTGGGTGGCGTCACGTCCACCGTTATGGCTTTCATGAAAGAGGGCAGGATTTAGGCCGGGAATCAACTCTGCCCCCAGGACATAATTCTATGACTCCCCGGGACCCCTTTGGGGGTTTTCCTGGCAGAGATACTGGAGGGGTTTGCCATTGCCGTCTCCAGCTCATTTCACAGAGGGGGAAACTGAGGCAAACGGGGTGAAGTAACTTGCCCAGGGTCACACAGCTAGTAGTCTGAGGTTGGATTTGAACTCGGGTTTTCCCGACTCCAAGCCTAGCGGTCTCTCCACCGCCACCAGCTCCTCCTAGTCCCTAGACCGCAGGGACTGTTTCTTTTTTCCACCTTATGTTGGCATCTCCTAGGACAATGTGTGGTAGGAGGTGGACAATTTGTAACCATGTGATGAACGATTAATTTTCCTGATTTTTTAAGGCTATCAATCCTTTATCCCTTACATGCATTTGATAATCAATCCCCCTTGACAATCTCTCTGTTGAAAGTTAGGCTCATTGTCCTCAGTCCTGCTCCTGAATCAGGGTGGATGGAGGCTCTGTTGGGGTCACCCAGTCTGCGGCCCTTGTATTGCTGCTGTCTAGCAGGTGGCAGATCACCACTGATCAGTTAGCCCCCAGGTCCAGGCAGTTGGGGAGGAACTGGGAGGCAATGGGCCGGCCCTTTTTGCTGATGTGGACCTTTCTGAATTGTCTTTATCTCATTATTATCAATTATTATTGATTAATATCAATTATCTCATTATTATTATCAATAAGAACTGGCTCCATCTTGAACCCCTTGCTGATCTCTAGCCATCGGCCAGTCAACATGTTGCTGCCTCGCCATGTTTTTAATAAACTCCTAGTTCTCTTTTATTACCTCTATGTAAAACCTGGACAGTATACCAGTGGCATGCCAGGAACTGAATCACTTCCATTCGAGTTGTCTTGGGAAGATTCTGAAGATAACCTTTCAGGGTCTCTCAGAAGAACTTTGAAATTGATTGTTTGACATGGGAGACACTGGCCCAAGGACCACCCAGCATGGTGTGCCCCCCAAGAAAGAAGGCACTGTGCCCCATGAGTAAAGCAGAATGGCAATAGGCAAAAGAAACATGAGATAAGCAAATTTAAAGACATCTCCACTCCAAATGTTCAGATGGACAACTTATGCCAGACCTGTGGTTGAGCCTTCTGAGCTCCTATTGATCTGATTAGCCACAGCAAAGATCTCATTTAAATACTTATTGTTTTCTTAATCTTTAAACTTATTTATCCTTCTCCTGGTTATCTTATTTGGGGTATTTGCAAGTGCTATGTCCTACTCCTATCTTTGTAGTAAATGCCTCAAATGCCTTTCTTTTCCTCAAGGTCCAGGGTATGTTAGTTGATTTACAGGTTGAGAGTTCTTTGTGGAAGTATCCTCTTCCATTCTTTTCTGTGATTTCTAATGGCTATGGAATAATTTTGAAATTTTAAACTTAATGTTCCTTTGCAGCTAAGGCTTTTCTTTTGGATGCTTGGCATTTTTGGGGGTTTTGATCTTGGAATTGTCAAATTTTACTATCACATGCCTTGTAAGTCCAAGCATGAGATCCTAGCCAAGAGATAATTCTCTGGAGAAAGGAATGACCTAGGTAGGTTTCTAGTCCCTTTTACCTTTGATACAAGAGCTCTAAAAGCTTCTACTTTCCTTGACTCTGTTAATATCTTTGTCTTTGGGTCCCCCAGTCCTGCTTTTCTTTCATGTGGCTAGGCTAAATCAGTGTCTTCTGTGTCTCATGGACCAGGGAGTGGGACTGAGATGGAGCCTGAGTGGCTGCTATGGGGGCAAAGAAACAGGGAACCCTACAACCTGAACCTGGATCATAAGCCTATGAACTTGACTGTGTTTGCCGCACCCAGCAGCCCAAGGGGACTGAGGTGGGGATGATGAGTAGGAATGTGTAAGTATTTTATTGTCTGGTTGTTATTTTGTGAGCTGTCCCCATCAGTCACTAAAAATTTGTTAAGCACCTATAATATGCCAGGCATTCTGCTAAGCACTGGGGATACAAAAAGAGGCAAAAGACAGTTTCTGCCCTCAGAGAACTCACGGGAGACAACAAGAAATGAAATACAACAAACAAATTATGTAGGAAATAAAGATGAAAGACATTAGGATTTTTTAAACTTTTTTAAATTTAATTTTTATTTTCCATTCTAAATTCCTTCTAGCCCCTTCCCATCAATTAAGAAGGCCAGAAATACCATACCCACTATATGTATGAAGTCAAATATATTTCCACATTAGCCATATTCTTGGGTGGGGGGGGAGGAAGAAGCAAGAAAGGGGGAGAGAAGCTTTATTCTGCATTTTGAGTCCATCAGTTTTCTAACTGCAAGGATTGAAAGCATTTTACATCATTACTCCTTTGGAGATGTGGTGAATCGTTATATTGATCAGTCACTAAGTCTTTTACAATTGATTATCTTTACAATATTGTCGTTATTGTGTAGGTTGCTCTCCTGGTTATGCTCACTTGATTTTGTATCAGTTTACATAAATCTTCCCAGATTTTTCTGAAACCATCTTCTTCATCATTTCTTACAGCAAAGTAGTATTCCATCACAATCATATACCATAACTTATTCAATCATTCCCTAATTGATGGGTGTCTTCTCAGTTTCCAATTCTTTGTCCCCACAGGAAAAAAGTTGCTATAAATATTTGGTACACATGGGTCCTTTTTTTTTTCTTTGATCTCCTTGAGGCGCAGACCTAGGAGCAGTACTGTTTGGTCAAAGAGTATGTTAGACTTAGTGCCACACTCTTCTCCAGAATAGTTGGGCCAGTTTATAACTCCACCAGCAGTGCCTCAGTGTACTGTTGCACATCCATCCAGCATTCATCATTCTTCTTTTCTGTCATCTGAGTGTGAGGTAGTACCTCAGACTTGTTTTAATTTGCATTGCTCCAATCAGTAGTGATTTAGAACATTTTTTTTCATATAACTATCTATAGCTTTGGTTTTTTTATCCTCTAAAAACTGTCTGTTCATGTTCTTTGACCATTTAGGAATTGGAGAACATCTTATTCATATAAATTTGGCTCATTTCTTTATATATTTGAGAAATGAGATTATTCAGAAAATTGGTCTAAAGTTTTCTTTCTCTGTTTTCACTCTCCCTGGCTTAGACATTAAAACCATATTTGGGTCATAAAAGGAATTTGGTAGGACTCCTTCTTTACCTACTTTTTCAAACAGTTTATATAATGTTGGAATTAATTTTCCTTTTAATGTTTGGTAGAATTTACTTGTAAACCCACCTGTTCCTGGGTTTGTTTCTTCTTTCCTTAAGGAGCTTATTTATGGCTTATTCAATTTCTTTTTCTAAGACATAAAATATTAAATATTCCATTTTCTCTTCTGTTAATCTGGGCAGTTTATATTTTTGTCGATATTCATCCATTTCATTTAAATTAGGAAGGCCCTAGAATTAAGAGGTGTTGGGAAAGGCTTCCTGGAGAAGATACGATTTGACTTGGTATTTAAAGGAAGCCAATGACATCAGCTGGTAGAAAGGAGGGAGGAGGGCATTCCAGGGCCTTCCGAACTGTACTCTTCTTGTCGAGGGGGCCGCCATCTTTCCATTCGCGTGGGTTTCAAACTGAAGTGTCATCCTTGACCACTCTCAATCCCCCGTGTCCAGTTATCTGCCACGTCTTATCGTTTCTGCTTCTTAACATCTGAAGGTGACCCCTCATCTCCTCAGACATCGCTACAGCCTGCCCCGAAGAGGAACGTCAAAGGGTCGCCTGCCTGAAAGCAATTCAGAGCAAATCCAGGAGAGGGCGTTCTGGCAGCGAAGCGGGCGGCGGCGGCTGCCAGGCTGAGGGCAGAGGACCCGGGGCCGGGCGGCAGCGGTGGCGTCTTCAGGCCGCCAGTTCTAGTCATACCGGACCTGTGGACAGCGGCGGCGATGGCGGAGCGTCCCACCGCGGAGGCGACAGCGCCTGCCGGGGCCGAAGAAGAGAAGACCCTGGGCGCCCATGGGGGTGGCGGCAGCGGCGGTGCCTGCTTTGGGCCGCCCGTGGCACCAGACGTGTGGATGGCAACGGCGGCTGGCGGGGCCCAGGGTGAGAAGATCCCGGGCGCCCATGGGGGTGGCGGCAGCGGAGGTAGCAGCAGCGGCAGCGGCAGCGGCGGTGCCGGCTTTGGGCCACCCGTGGAACCAGACATGTGGATGGCAACGGCGGCTGGCGGGGCCCAGGGTGAGAGGACCCCGGGCGCCCATGGGGGCGGCGGCAGCGGAGGTAGCAGCAGCGGCAGCGGCAGCGGCGGTGCCGGCTTTGGGCCACCCGTGGAACCAGACATGTGGATGGCAACGGCGGCTGATGGGGCCCAGGGTGAGAAGATCCCGGGCGCCCATGGGGGCGGCGGCAGCGGAGGTAGCAGCAGCGGCAGCGCAGCGGGGGTGCCGGCTTTGGGCCACCCGTGGAACCAGACATGTGGATGGCAACGGCGGCTGGCGGGGCCCAGGGTGAGAAGATCCCGGGCGCCCATGGGGCCGGCGGTAGCGGAGGTAGCAGCAGCGGCAGCAGCGGTGCCGGTTTTGGGCCGCCCATGGCACTAGACATGTGGGTGGCAACGGTGGCTGCCAGGGTCCAGGGTGAGAGGACCCCGGGCGCGAGGAGCTCAGGCCCGGGCAGCAGCGGCGGCTTCGGGCCTCTGGTCCTACCGGTGTGGGAGGAGGAGTCGGGCGGCTCAGGAGGGCCGTGGGGAGGCCTGGCCCCAGAGCCCTTGGCCGCTGCCCACAGGCCCGCGCCGCGTAGTCCCCCGGCCTCCTGGGACCCGACACAGAGCTCGGACTGGGACAGCGAGCGCCCCAGGCCGCAGTCTCTGCTGCGGATCAAGCGGGACATCCGGGCCCTCTATAAGGAGCCGCCGCCCGGCACGTTCGTGGTGTCGGACCCCCTGGACATGACCAAGATCCACGCGCTGATCACGGGCCCCTTTGACACTCCGTATGAAGGGGGTTTCTTCTTGTTCCTGTTTCGCTGTCCTCCGGATTACCCCTTCCGCCCACCAAGGGTCAAGCTGATAACCACGGGCAATAACAAGGTGAGGTTTAACCCCAACTTCTACTGCAGCGGGAAAGTCTGCCTGAGTATTCTGGGGACCTGGGCTGGCCCTGCCTGGAGCCCAACCCAGAGCCTCTCCTCCGTGCTGATCTCCATCCAGTCATTAATGAACGAAAACCCCTACCACAACGAAGTCGGCTTTGAGCAGAAGAGACACCCAGGAGACAGCGAAAAGTACAATGAGTACATCCGGCACGAGACCCTCAGAGTGGCCGTCTGTGACATGATGGAGGGAAAATGTCCCTGCCCTGAACCCCTGAGGGATGTGATGGAGAAGTCCTTTATGCTGTACTATGACATCTACGAGATGGCGTGCAAAGACCGACTACGCCTCCAAGACCATGCTATGCAGGAGCCTTTTGGGGAGAAGCCAGGCTACTTCGACTACGAGTTTCTCCTGATTCGCCTCCGGGCGATTCGTCTGAAGGTGCAGGAGAAACTTCAGTAGTACAGTGCTGAAACAGACTCTGACAGCAGTTCATCTAAAACAGAGACAGATGCGCAGGGGAGCTCGAGGGCCTAGACAGATGCCCCCCTCCCTATCCCTGGGATGGATCAGCACCACATCTCCCTCCAGCCCCAACAGCATCCTGCCTGAGCTGAGAACCAAGGACACGCAGACCCCAGGGTGGGAGTGGGCTGTTGTTTGCAACCTTCTCCGCATCCTGGTACCAAGGACCATTTTCATCTGTGCCTAGGGCCAATCCCAAGGTACTGATATAGGAGAGCCTACAGAATGGTTTTCTGGCGAAAAACTGACAGACATTTCCACTGGGGCAGTTTGTTGGGGATAGAAGGCAAAGACTGCAACTCCCAGAAAGGCTTGCTCAGAATAGTCGATGGGGATGGGGGGGTGGGAGGGCAGGGTTAAGGGAGTGGGGAGGGAGAAGGGAGGGGAGTGGGGAGGGAGGGGGGAGGGGAGAAGGGAGTGGGGAGGGAGGAGGGAGGGGAGTGGGGAGGGAGGGAAACGGGGAGGGTGGGAAACGGGGAGGGTGGGAAACGGGAGGGTATCACATAACCTGTCCAAGTGGTCGTCTGGGTGTCTGTCTGTCAGTTTTGAAGCTGGGCCTTCCGCTTGCTTAACCCAGCCCAGCCTAGTGTAACCTCCTGAACCTCATTTCCTGTCTGCCACCGTAATTTTGTTTTCCCTAATATATATAGTCACTGTTCTACACAGATCAAAGAGAAGGAACAGTGGTGGAGTCTGGGCTACTGGTCAGAAAGCTTTACCTAGCACCCCCCCCAAAAAAAAAAACAAATGAGAGAGATGGAGGAAAAACTAAAAAAACATAAGAATAACCCAAGAAAAACAAGAAGACTATGAAAGTCAGCCAATTAGAAAAGGAGATCCAGAATCTTAAGGAACAAAATGACACCTTGAAAATGAGAACCGGGCAAGGTGAAGCCAGCAAAATTACAACAGATCAAGAAATAATTAAACAAAATATGAATAATGAAAAAATAGAAGAGAAAATGAAACATCTTATAAGAAAAAGAACAGATCTAGAGAATAGATCAAGAAGAGAAAATGTGAAAATAAGTGGATTAACTGAAAGCTATGATCAAAAAAAGAATCTTGATACAATAACAGAACAAATAATTAAAGAAAATTGTCCTGAAGCATTAGAACAAGCGGAGGAAAGTAGAAATAAAAAAAATCCATCAATCACCACTTAAAATATACCCTGTGAGGAAAACTCATTGGAACATTATAGTCAAATTCTGAAACCCCCAGCTCAAGGATAAAATATTAAAAACAACAAGAAAAACAATTTAAATATATGATGGTACCTCAGTTAGAATCACACAAGACCTAGAAGCAAAGATATTAAAGGACCACAGGTCTTAGAACACTATATATCAAAGAGCAGAAGAACTGGGGTTCCAGCTGAAAATATCATACCCAGCATAATCCTGAATGAAAAAAGGACATTTGATCAACTATCAGACTTACAAGATTTTGTTAAAAAAAAAAACCAAACCTGAACTTTATTGAAGTTTCAACATAGAAAAGCCAAGAGAAACATAAGGTACCTACCAAAGACTGATTATGAGGGATTCAATAAGGACAGACTGTTTACTTTTTATGTATGTAAAACATAAAATGTATGTCTAAGATTCTTATTAATAATTGGGTAGCTCAAGACATCTCCAGAGGCTTCGTGATGGAAAATGCTATCCACATCCAAAGAAAGAAGTATGGAAGTTGAATTGCTATTTTTTTCTCTTCTGTTGAATTTTGTTTCCTCTTTCTGATGGTTCCTCCTATTGTTTTAATTTTTACTTACAACATCACTAATGTGAAAATATGTTTAATAGGAATGTATGTGTATAACCTATATCAGATTGTGCGTCGTCTTGGGAAGGGTGGTGGGGATGAAGGGGGAGAAAAATTTTAAACTCAAAAGTATATGGAAGTGGTTGTTGATAAATCAAAATAAATAAATATAAATTTTAAAAAAGACAAAAAAATGGCCAAACAAGATATGTGTGATATAATACTAAATAAAATGATTTAATGCAATAAGAAATAGGGGAGGGAAGGTGAAGGGAATAAGCATTTCTAGAAACAACTAAAAAGTGCTAGGCACTATGCTAAGTGCCCTTTACAAATATTATCTCAATTTACAATATCATCTGTATTGATCCTCACAACAACCCTAGGAGCTAGGTGCTATTATTATCCCCATTTTATAGATGAAGAAACTGAGGCAAACAGAGGTTAAGTGACTTGTCCAGGATCACCCCACTAGTAGGTATCTGAGGCCAGATTTGAACTCAGGTCTACCTGATTCCAGGCCCAGTGCTCTATCCCCTGGGCCACCAAGAAGTGATAAAGGGGGCTGTTTCTGATAAACCTGGGAAGACTGAATGAACTAATGCAGAGGGGAAATGAGCAGAACCAGAGCAATTCATACAAAGACAAACAACTTTGAAAGCCTTAAGAACTCTGATCATTGGAATGACCAATCACAATTCCAGACGATTGATAATGAAATGTGCCATCCACCTCCCAACATGGAGATGAAGGACTGCATAAATTTTTGGACATAGATCCGTATGGACACCACTCTCCTTCCTTAATATAGGCCAGGGTCTTTTGTGGGGTTGAGACTGTACCTGATGAGGAAGCTGGGGGTCTTGGCAGCCCCTCTGCCAGGCACCTGGTAAGCATTCTCTGATTGCTGGATTGGGTGATTGGGCAGTACGGGCTTTATCCAGTTACCTTTCCTTTTTTCTTTGACTAGCGTTTATACAGCGCTTTAAGGTTTGGGAAGCGCTTCACAAATATCTCTCATCCTCACAACCACAGTGGGAGGTGGGTATCATTGTGATCCACATTTTACACATGGGGAAACTGAAACTGAGGCAGGCAACGATTAAGTAACCTGCCCGGGGTCACAGTGTCTGGGGCCGCATTTGAACTCGGGTCTTCCTACCATCCCTGCACTGAGGCTCCCCAAGCTGCGGCGAGATGTGAGGGTGCATTTTAAAAAACCTCCAAGTTCACACACCCCGCCTTTTCACACTAGAACAGCACTCGCCAGGCTCAGACTCAAGCTTCTGCTCGGCCTCCGCCAGCCAAGACTAACCAAAGACTAAAGGGGGCGGGAGCCCCGGGTGCTCCGGACCAATAATGGGTGTGCCCGCTGGCCTAAGGGGCGGAGCCGGGCCAGTGCGAGAGAGGAGACAAACTGCGCACGCGTGGTTCCTCCCACGCCCAGGCCCTTCCCCCTCCGTCCGCCCAGCCTGGCCTCTGGCTGCCACTCACCCGGCCCAGGACGGACGCAGGGTTCAGGCTCCGGAGGAGGTGGAGGCGGAGGCGGAGGCTGAAGACTGAGCGGTCGGGAGGGGCCCAAGGGTACTGACGGGTCCGAAGACAGAGCACCGAGGACTGGAAAAGGAAGCGGAAGTGACGAAAGAGGAAGCGGAAGGAGAATGCTTTTTTTCCCGGCTACTTCCGCTTTGCTCTCTCCGAGCGTCTGTGTGCCCATGGCAACCACCGGGAAAGCCGGGGGCTGAATTGGCAAGGGTATCTGGGAAACGTAGTTCGGAGAGTCCCGGTGGTTTGTGTGCTTGCCGGATAGAGACTGGCAGGAACGTCCATAGAGCTGATCAGAACTTTGACCACCGAGGCTGGGCAGGGCCGAGGCAGATCGAGGAGGGGGCCCTACCTGGGAGCACGGGAAACGCCGAAGCCACGTGGCAGTGCAGCTGCAAAGCCACATCTGGAGGGGCGTGGAGTCACTAACTGGCCCCAGGAGAGCTGTAACATCACAGCCGCTGATGTTTCGAGAACGCTAGATGGCTCGGTACCTGGGGACAGGAAGACCCGAATTCAAATCCAGCACTAGCTGTGTGACCATGGGCAACTGCTCTGACCTTGCCTCGGTTCTCTCTTAAATAGGGATAGCAGTAATAGCACTCAACTTCCAGGTTGTGGTGGGGACCAAGTGAGATAATGTTTGTAAAGTTCTTACTCCGCTATGCC